AACATCAACACGAGCCTGGTAAAATGTAACTCTGTTAAGGATCAAATTTTTTGCCATGTTCACATCTTCATACGGCTTCTTGAATTTATCCAGTGGTAGGGCAAGTTCTACAATTTCTTCAAGGTGTTGAAGGATTTCCCGTTCTGTTGGACCTAAAACACAACAGCATGAGAGCAAATTAAAAAAGAAAAAAAAAAGATTTTACCTAAGACCTATGGAAAACGTCTCTTGAAAACATTTTTTTAGGAAATGTCTTACCAGACATTGAACTGACATGGATATTCTGCTTTGAAATAGCAGACTGTTGATCTGACTTCTTCTTTACTGAGATGCGATCGCCATGAAATGACTCTGGGCCATAGTTTTTCAAGGCAGCATTGGCCTCTGCTAGGGAATCTACCCTGTATGCAAGAAGACCAATGGATGCCAACAACTGTTCAGTGTTGCGCATCTCCATATGGAGAGCACAAAGTTGAATGTTGCAAAGCTCTTCGTCCAAAAGAAAAACCAGATCATCTCGTATACCAGTTGATCTACAAGACAATTTCAAAGAATGATTGATTTTCTGAAGCAATGAATTATTTCATGTTTTTCTTTTTCTTTTTCAATTACCAAACTATGAGTACTCCTTTCCTGACAGTATGAAAACAATTTTTGGCAACCTTCCAAGTTTGGCAAAAGATCCTGAATGAGGATTTTAGTTTACTAGCAACAATTTAAAAAAAAGACCCCAAACTATACACTTAATTTCAGTTCATGCTTTAGTACAAGTCATTTCCCCATGGCTTACAAAATTCATTTTGTTATGTAACAGTAAGAAAATCTACTTTATGTGTTTGAATGTAATTTAATATGACAATGATCAAATGCCTACACACCTTCCTATGTTGCATTTGCTTCTGAGGCAATCCAGGCATGTCTCATCTGTAGCAACATCATGGCATTTGCAACCCTGACAAAAACAGGCACACTATCAAATAATATATAATATTATAATTTCAGATAGAACTACACATTTATCATGCTTCCGATTATCTTCTTCAGAGTTCATGCAGATTTTTGGATCCAAAATTCAAGACTTTTCCCAGACCTTTTTTCCAAAACATCAATTTATTTTTCCAGACTGAAGATGGTCAAATAGGTGATCACTAGAGATCTTGAAAAATGCAGAAACCAAGCTTCTTTCATGATGCACTGCAAATGTACAATAACCATGGTGCAATCGTGAAACTTCTCATTCTGTGATTGAATGTCTTAGCTACAGGCGAGATTGAATTGACCACAGGGGAAAAAAATGAACTTATTAAGCACTTTTTGTAGCTATAAAAAAAACTCCAGACTTGAACTATTTTTCTAGACATTATCTTCAATTTCAAGACTCTTTCCAGGTCTGGAAAATCAAGACTTTTCCAAGAATTTATGACTCTGTGTGAGCCCTGTTCTTTTTACAGTACATGTATTCATACTTTCAGTGATTTTTAAATGTTTTAAAGCAGAATGACCTTTAGAGAAGTACTTTACAACTTTTTTTGACTGAATTAAAGCTACTTGATGTTTCTATCACTCACTAATTATTTTCCCAAATATCGGCAAAGATCAAAGTCATCTGAAATCACTGTAAAAAAAGTTGATGAACTAATGCAGCACTTTTATGTACCTCAACTTTAACAGCACAAGTTGCAGTTGCCCCATACTAATTTCTATATCATTTGAGTACTTTACCCTGATAGCATTGCAGATGAAACAGAACTCGACACTGACACCTCTACCACCTAACATGAATGAAGCATTCGTCTTCTTCACCAAAAGAAGTACCAAGGTCTTGTAGTCCAGTACAACTAAGTTTGATAACAGAAATGGGAAAGCAAAAGTTAACATGCTAAACTTTCCAGGAAATTAATCTCTAATGTATCTAAAGAAAAGGGTAGTCAAATCAATTTCTGACGTAAAATAGTAATAAATTCCAGGTTTTATTTCTTGCTGCTGCAGTTAAACCTTGAAGATGTTTTACAATATAAAAAAACTCTTAATTTACTATAGTTTGACTACTGCTTCAATCTAGTTCTAGTCAGACTACCAACTGGGTAGAAACACAATAAATTGCTATATATAGTATCATGAACAAGAAGTTGACTTTTAAAGCAAATTCCAAGACTAACATTGATTCTTACCCAGAAATTCAACGGTGTAATGTTTACCATCAACTGTCATTCCTTTTTCCTTTAATATTTTTTTCTGGTGGTTGATGTCCTCAAAAAGAATCTTGAGGTTGTCTCTGTCAACAAACAAAAACCAAAAATCTATACAGTCATTGTTATATTTAGTGCATTAAAGCCAAATTAGGGATATTGATATCAATCCACTTAGATCTCAGAGTGGATGCATGACCTGGTGATATTGAAACTGAGTGGGGCTTACAAAAATCTGTCATTGTGTTATTTAAGTTAAATGCACATACAACCACAAGCATATTCTAGCCAGAAGGTAGTAAAGAGTTCCAGCAAGTTGCAATTCACAAACCTGTCTTCTTTACAGTTGGCAATTGTCAATGGGTAGACTGATTTTGCACTTTGCTGGCTATATACAGCACCATCACGGGGAACAATTCCAAACAACACCTGAGCTCTACCTGCAAAACAATTTTTTACACTAAATTAGTCAAGACAAAAACTGCACCCTTCACCAACCCATTTCACCTTACACATCATTATAATGACCACCTTCCATACAAAGAACTGCTTGCAAGGCCTAAAAAATTTAACAGTTATAGTTATTTTGATTTGGAAGTACAACACACACACACAAAAAAAAAATATGTGGATGATTATCATACGTGGGGAACGACCTTTTATAACAATAATAATAAAATAATTTACATAATAATTTACTGCAGCATCTATCGACAGAATTTCATGGGAAAAAACTTTAAAGATTATATTTTAAATTTACACTTGGTGTCATGAAATATTAATAGGAAGTAGGGCGATGACCTTCTATATTAATGGTCCAGGGTTTGTCACTAAGAGCCGGCTTCCAGCATATTTCACCAGCTGAAAAAGAGCTTACCACTGGCTCAAATTGCTCTGAAAAACAGACATAGGGTAATTTTGAAGACGCAGTTGAGTAAAACGCCCGCTTAAGTAATAAAAAAAAGCCTGCTTATCTTTTCCTGTACTAGGCTTCGCTTACGAGAATAACTGAATAAAACAAAAGAAAGAGCTGCTATAAACATTGAGGCTCGCGATGTAATAGTTCTTTTTTTGTTCTTTTATTCCCTTAGCCGGGGCGCCAAGTATGAATATTAATATACCGACGTAAGACCAACGTAACTAAACATCTTACCCCCGTCCTTCTGAGCCCTGTGATGTTTATCACGGATTGCCACGTTTTCGAAGAAACTCTCGCCATCGCCTGGAAAAGGACAAGCTTCCAATCGGGAACTCTCAGGCACGCCACGTACTTCGACATTGTGTCGTCGCCAACTAGCTCTTCCACACTCCTCTTTACTCCCCTTTTTACAGCCATCTCTTCGACAATTTCATTGACGATGGCCTTCGCTTCTGGGTCGCCAAATGCGCACATGTTCGAAAGCACCATCGCCAAACTTTCCCTGTTTCTTTCGCACACGTCATGCACGTCCTTAATGACGCGACTGCTTCGCTGCTTCATCAACAGCACCTTTTCTAGAGTATCCAAATCTTCCTTTTCGCTGATCTCCTTTAGATTTGGGGAAACATTCTTTTTTTCAGCTCTTTGCGAGTTTCCACTGTTTGGGGGTGTCATGGCCACAGATGATGTCTTGTGCGTTGGTGTCGTTGGCATTTCCAAGCATCGTGAAGCACGTGGTCGTTCTTTGTTTGCTTGGCCTTCATTTTCTTCGTCGATAAACATTTTACTGAGATCTACTGAGTTCAGCAAATCTCTCAGCTGCAAAATGAACTCAGAGCTTTCTGAAGAAGAACCGCGAAGCAGAGTGGTTATCAACCCATACGAGGAACAGACAATTTCCGTTGCATTAGAGGACTTCTTGTTCGAGTAATGGTGGCCATCTAGCAGCCGAATGTGGGCACTGTCGATTCTTTGAAAATCGCTTGGAAAACTGGCAACAACAGGCGACCGCTTAAAGTATTGCGTCGGCGTTGATCCACAAACTTTCGAACTTAGAATGAACCAAGTCAATTGTGGACTTAATTCAGGGCTGATGACCGGAGTGAAGGGCGAGAAATCCTTTCTAGGTGCAATCTCTACTGCTACTGAATCACGCGTTTGAAATACGAAACTGCAAAGAAAAGATAGGCGGGCAAAAACCATGACATTCGAATATCGACATAGTAACATTATCCAGCTGCTAACTCGAGAGTGTTGATAATTTAAGCTAGTCGGCCCATGACATATTTAATGAGATTAAATCAAATTAACTGCGGGATTATCACACCTGAAAAAGACGAGCCCAGCGGGCTTAATATTTACAGTGCAAAGCACTTGTGTCTTCTCATGACATTGTGTATATACCACCAATTTTCTATTTCCTTGACTAATTATTTTGTAATGATGTTTACAAGTTGTCAAATACAATACAAAGACTTGCTATTAGATGGTCAAATGAAAAATTTTTACCTATAAATAAAATTTACTCAATAACAACATCAACTTAGCTCTTGAAATAAATAATAAAACTTGATTAATGTTTGGAATTGATTGATGCGATGTACATAAAGTATGAAATTCAGGTATTAACTCAAGTTTTCTACAAATGTCTTCATGGTTGAATCCTAAGTTTCTCTTCGTCCTTAGTTGTACCCTGCCTTCCTTTAAATCAAAATTTCGGAGTGCAAGGAACATGGTAGACAAACCAGCGTAGATGGCTAGTAGTTTTTACTAAGTATTCGTTTCATTCATTGGCTAGTAACGAGTCTGCGTATATCTTACCAACTCCGATAAAAAATTTTTGATTGACGTTTAGATCACATGATCCAACACGTGACCTTCGTCCTCAAAAGTTTCAGCTCAATCGGCTGTAATTTTGCGTAGATATAGCCGTTCATTTTCGTAACGCAATTTAGCCTCCTGACCCAGGCCTTAAACTACTTGAGTTCTGGGTGCTAAATAAATAAGCTATAGAGGTGCACCATACAAAGACATCATTAATTATAATAATCCTGTTGGAGGCTCTAAAGGAAGCTTAAAACCTGGGTAAGTTGTTCTCCGACTCATTTTGTAATGACACGTCTCAAAAATCAATTTCGAAAACAGAGTTAGCATCTTATGTTTTCTTGTTTTGAGAGGAAGGAATAGCTAAGTGTCTATTGATTCAACTTGAATCAAAGGCGTGTAAACCTGGTAAGGAATATTCATCGGTGGAAAGCAATCGCTTTTTCTCGATGGGGAGTGTTTGCATGACTTCCTAAACATAGCAGCTGCGAAGATGACTTAAGAGACTGTTTGTTGTTAAATGATGTGACTGAAATTGGAGAGATCTCTAAAAGTTATAAGGTGAGAATGCTGACCCTTAGTAGTGGCTCTTCGCTAAAATGATTCTTCATGATCTCGCTTTTAGCACGAAATAACTTCCCAAGAGGTTCCTTATTCAGAGACGTCTCCGTTGCCAATCTACAAAGTTTAGCAGGATAATACAGGTATGTATTCCTTTAGGTCATGCTTTGTCTAGCATTACGAGAGCTACTGTATACTATTCATCTAACCAGGATATTATGTGCTACAATTAGTTTAGAGTAAGTTGTGAAAATGCGGTAATATTTTCGTTTTAAGCGAAAATTTGATCGAGAGATCATTTTGTTATGAGAGAGCTTGAGATTATTCGAACTCAAAATTCAGTGTTGCTATGAGGGCTTTTGACTAATACAGTTATAAATGCATGATTATTACGACAATAATTAAAGAGTTGTTGATTCTCATTTTCTTCGAAGTTTAAACTGCCGGCAGTAGATGCTCTGCCGATCTCATACAAGTGTACCTGGCTATTTGGGTCTATTTGACTGCATGCCATTAGGAAATGATATTTGAATATCAAACCCCCATTTTGCTTCCTATAGAATGCTTAAATTTGACCTCTTTTCTGAACGAAACGAATCGAAAACCTCAACAATTTTGCATAAAAATTGCTTAAGTGGCTAGTATTAAAAAGTTCCACTAAAGCAAGACTACAGATGTGGATGGCCGACCTGTTTTCTGAACGAAACGAATCGAAAACCTCAACAATTTTGCAGAAAAATTGTTTAAGTGGCTAGTATTGAAAAGTTGCACTAAAGCACCACTACAGATATGAATGAACCTTGTTTTGTGGATAATGCTTCATTACATTCCTCAGTTAAACCTCACGGGCAAGCATCAATTCCCTTTTCAGTCGTGAAATTGTCTTGCAGATAAAAGGACTTGAATAATTCCTGGAAATCTTGAGCTTAATATTGTAGAGAGATTTTGAGATTTTGCGAGATTTTGCGTTACCCTATTATGCACATGTCTCGGCACGTGCCCTCTGATTATTAGTTTGATTTCAGCCAATTATCTACATTAGTATGAACACGTAACTATGTAGTAACATGATCCAGCACCGTGCGCCAGCGGCACTTAGACGTCCTAGGATATCCCTCGTTTTAGTCAATTAAAAATGTTGTTCTTTGACTCGCCTGTTGATTTGCACTGATCTCGTTACAAATGTGTTCCTTAAAATTGAGAAACTACACATTTATTTCGTTTTAGAGGAGTTTCGCTTTCCTAAAAAATGAGAGAGTTACTCTATGCTATTCCTATGATCAGGATATTCTGTGCCCCAATCATTACAGAGTAAGTTATGAATATGCAGTGATGTTTTCGTTTTGAGCAAAAATCTAAGCGAGAGATCGATAATTTTGTTATGAGAGAGCTTGAGATCATCTGGAGTCAAAATTCAGTGCTGCTATAAGGGCATTTGCCTTAAAAAAATTATAAATGCATGATTATTATGACAAGAATTGAGAGAATTGTTGATTCGCACTCTTCAAAGACAAACTGCCGGCAGAAGTGCTCTGCCGATCTCATACAAGCGTGCCTTGCTATTTGGGTCTATTTGAGTGGATACCATTTTGCCCTCTTAAGAGGCTGTCTCTCTTATTTCCACCCGGTCAATATTGCGTCAAAAATAATTTTACCTGAAACTCTGTTAACAGAAAGACTTTAAGACCAAACAACGAAAGAATATATCTAAATCATAAAAGGATCTCCATTTGCAATGTTGTTTCAATCTCCTGCAACCTTGCCAACCTCTTAAAACAGGTCGCTCAATGGCTTACAATGTATTTAGAGCAATTCTAAGTGCTGTTTCATCGTCTTCGCTGCTCTTTTGAAAGGAAGTCCGTAAGATACTTCTTGTCAGACGATCACGAGGTTTTAATTTTCTTGGTTTTCTTAATTTGTAATTTCGATCATTAAGCCTGCATTAAAATAAAGGTTAAGCAAAACACGAATTCTAGGGCATCGATAAACTTTTTAACAGATGAGGATGCTACATTCGGAAAGCATTTGCATCTCATTTAAGAAGGTTTTCAAAAAGGTTTTCTCAAACTTAGTGACCTACTCCAGTTGGATTCTGTTGGTGCGGGATGGCGTCGGCTGTCGTTGTGATTGCTTAAAGAGCCTTTATAAAGCTTTCACAAGGAAGCAGGGGAAAGGAAAATTATATTTCACCTTTTGTTTCATGATCAAGAAGCTAACTCAATTCTGGGGAGCAAAGTAAAATGAATATTAGCTATATAGGGGTAAAAGCAGTTTTTTCTCGCTCGAGCTAACCTTTAGGGCGTGAGGAATTTCAATAAAAACAACACGATATTTGGCCCAACAGCAAAGATGGCTGATTTCTGAACCAGAAAAGATGAAGTAAACAGCTTCAGTTTTCAATCCAGTGGGCAAAGCGTTTTGGGGAGTGATTCAGCTATTGTGTGCTAAAAACAAGATGGCAGGAATGCTGCCGAACGTCAGCATTCCTGCCAAATCTTACACATCATAAAACAGAGAACGTTTAAATTAACACATGAACTCTTCAAATGTCCACAATTTGCGTTAAAGAAATGTTCCAACATTCCACGTAGGAAGCCAGTGTAAGTTTACGAAATCTGTTATCGGCTTTCTATTGTCTCATTTTGAGACGGTAGATATCCTTGAATTTGGTGGGAAAACTAAGCACTTCAAGTCCAGCGAACAAAGACAAATTTTTCTAACGGAGACTGATCGACAGACAAGCACAGTCGGAAGGAAGGGAAGCTAGAACTAGAATATCATAATTAAAACTTGATGACGAAGAGAGACTTAGGAGTCGACCTTGAAGACATTTGTAGAAAACGTGAGATAATACCTGGATTTCAGATGTACATCACGGAAATCAATTCCAAACGTCAATCAAATTTTCTCTTTAGTTTAAAAGAGTTGAGTTGAAGTCGTTATTGGATATATTAAGAGGTTGAAAGGTTTTAGATGGTTTCTCTCATGTTGACAAATTGCTGAATTTGAAGGTGGAGTTGTTGCAAAGTGTTATAATGAAACACATCAACTAAAAATTTGACTGATATGTTAAAACTTTTCAACTGATCATCTACTGGCAGGTATTTGTATTATATTTCAACCCAACCATTTTCCACAACTTGTAAACACCATTACGAAATAATTAGTTGGAGAAATGGAAAATGTGTAGTTTATATACTATGTTTGAAATGCCATGTCCAGAATAAGCTAAAGGATAGAGAGGGGTGTAAGCTTGCTTTTTTGTATCATTAATTTGCTAATCGCTCGTGTTGCCAATGTTTTGATGAGATTGGGCTGTCAGGGCAAAGAGACTGAGTAATTTGGCAAGCAAATTGCCTTTTTTTAAACCTGGAAACTATCATTGTGAAAAGCTATACCTGTACCCGATAACTCATTGTTATTCTGATAGACTAATTTTAAGAAGGATGCAATATTTCATTACATAAATTTGATGCATAGGCCGTGCACAAAACTCTTATTTGACTATACTTTTAGAGTCACTACCAATCCTTACACATAAAATATCGGTAGGGTCAGAGGAAAAATTAATTTACAATACATCTGTAAGACTTCATGTAATTAATTTGACTACATGAATATTAACTGATGCTACGAGATTTGAGAATATTCAAAAGAGTATAAAATTTGGTTGAAAAATTAAAATTCAGCAAAGGCCTGATAAACAAGATTCTTAGAAAAATAAATGTGTACGAATGAAAAAAGCTAAGCACTCGCCCGTACCTGTGCAGCTCACAGTAAATGATTGAAATACTAAGGGTGCTGTATACCTCAAGCACTCAGGTTGCCCCAGCTGAGGGACACACCTTTGAAGTGTTATTTGAAGGGGAATATTTTTCTTCGCTTCGTAGGGGTGTCCGGCCAAAGTGAATCAACATGAGAAATGTAAAAGCCACAATTACTTTTAATTAAACAGTATTACATTAAACAATATTTAACAAATAGAGAAGCCTCGACTGTGTGCTGTTCTGTTGTAAAGCATGCATGAAGCGGCTAGAGCACGAGAGAAGTGTAGGGAGAAACGGGAGAAGTAGTTTAATGTTTTTTATCACTTCTTGCAACATTAATGTCAGTTATTTGCCAAAGAGCAAAATGGGTCAATGCTGAACTTAAACTAAAGTTTTCTACTCTTTCATGGACTATGGGACACTTTAAAAACAAAATAAGAGCACCTTAGGGCCCGAAAAAAAAGTACAAGTTGCTTTCACCTTTAGTCACTTTCTACAAAAAGAGAGTTGAACGTGCTAAATAAAAATTTTGAATCACCCACTCTACTTACAAAGTAAGACCGCCAAAGAAGTAAGAAATTATCAACTAGCTTATAATGTTCCTTTGGGTTAGGATTTAGAGGGTTCTCTTAACTGAATGGTTTATGCTAGTATGCTATTTCCATTCCCCTTCCAATACTCAAATAAGTTAAAAACACATATGCGAGAAAATTCTTGCTTGATGCCAGTTTTGTCTTTTAACAACATTCCTTACGAGGTATACAGGCATTATAGTATGAGTACAGAAAGCAATCCATTAGTCTCGCAAACAGGTCGAATTTAACAATTCTTAAGAGGCTGTCTCTCTTATTTCCACCCGGTCAATTTTGCGTCAAAAATAATTTTGCCTGAAACTCTGTTAACAGAAAGACTTTACCTAGGAAAGAACTAAATTAGATTTGGTTTGATTCGAAATAATTTTCTGACTGCATTACGGGCCATAATTATTTCCCAGTCCGTAGGGACCGTCGCAACGTCTCGAAAATTGAAAAATAGGCATATTATGTAACGTTGTAAAATATTTGATTCGCATAGTTAAGCCACAGAATTTATATCAGATTGCTTAAAAACCTTTTCTAGTTTGCCAAGAAAGTTAGAATTTGCCCTCTCAACATACTTGAAAAGGCGAATTTTAGCATATTCTGACCACTAGAAATCGCCATCGGCCGATGGTCGTAAATAACCTTGATTTAGACGCTAAGTTTTGGGATTTAGGACCTGGTTGACGATTCTATCCTACACAGCCGTTAAGTTTAGACCTTTATAGGCAAAAATATGCAAAAACCCTTGTACGTTTTCGATTTTTCAAAAGTTATGACCGTTTGAATCAGCACATGTACGAGCATTCGCGATTTTTTCGCCTACACCAAAATCGAACCACTGGAGCAGATTTCGTCATAAATACAGCTTACCCGCTTTGCAGCCCGGCTTCATGGCCCCCCATCAGAATTTTTCTAATAACCAAATTGGTGAAATCCATGACAACTTCAACAAATAGCTAGGTAATGCCTTCGAAAAGTAGGCGGCATCCATCGTGATTCGTGGTATCAAAACAAATGTCGGAATTGGCCACATTTCGCGGTGAATCACCCATTTAACATCGCTGCAGAGCTGAATTTTTTCCAAAATCAGAATATAAACTCTCCATGTCTGGAAGCTGAGGGAGAAATGAAGGTTTTAGGCTTCTGAAGTGAAGAAATAATCGCTTAAATTTAGATCCAGTTCGATGTTATACTGTTCTCACAAAGGTCCGCACAAAAGAGAAGACCGCTGATAGCTTGTGCTGTACGTTGTGCCATACGGTTTTGTTTTGTATCCCAATGTAATATTTGGGCAGAAAAATTTTGGATGAAAAGAATAAATGCTTGTACCTGGAGTTTGATATCATATAATTAATAAATTAATTTCAAATATACCTGAGCTTGCTTCTCTCGGTTTTTTTATTTTATTTATAAAAATAAACAAATATAAACAAAAGCGAAGGGCCGACCCCACCCAAGTTGCAGTGGACATGCGAAATGCGAAAAATGAATCAAATGCACGTTTGTTCACTAGAGAACAGTGGCTGACAAAGAGCCAAGTTCAGAGCTTTTTCTCCCGGCTAGCAGCAATGCGGCGAAAAGATCAGGGTGTGATCGGGATATCACTGGATGAGGAGGAAGATGTCCAATGCGTCCAGGAAAATTCCGAGAGATAAGATCTGGTAGACAAAGTTAACAAAGAGATCAAAGTCTCACATCCAATCTGCTACGATACGTAGGACCTCTGTGAACGTTACCACAATAACACACTTCAGAAATTCAATGTGGTTTTGTAGAGAGCCATCTGTAGTCATTTTGAGATCCCTGTAAAATTGAGAGACAAAAAACAGATCCTCATAGACAAACTGTCGGACGTGATTAGTGATTGTCAGTGTGTTTCTCAGTAGACTTATGTAAACAATGTCTTATACGGTGGCTGAAAGTGTAGAATATGCTCTACAGATACAAACTACATTTACTTCCGATATCAAGTTCTGACGGCGTTGTTATAATGTAATATATTATAATATCTAGTAGTCAGTGAAATGTTTTGATGAAACCGATTGAAAATTTACCAAAAGTAACACTTATAACATCTGTTCATACGAAGCATGTGTCAAGTTTTTATCACGTTGGTAGCTGATTTCTCCGGCTATTGACAGGTTGCTGTTCTGTGGACACAATCGACGCGGTACCGAGAGAAGCAAGCTCAGGTATATTTGAAATTAATTTATTAATTATATGATATCAAACTCCAGGTACAAGCATTTATTCTTTTCATCCAAAATTTTTCTGCCCAAATATTACATTGGGATACAAAACAAAACCGTATGGCACAACGTACAGCACAAGCTATCAGCGGTCTTCTCTTTTGTGCGGACCTTTGTGAGAACAGTATAACATCGAACTGGATCTAAATTTAAGCGATTATTTCTTCACTTCAGAAGCCTAAAACCTTCATTTCTCCCTCAGCTTCCAGACATGGAGAGTTTATATTCTGATTTTGGAAAAAATTCAGCTCTGCAGCGATGTTAAATGGGTGATTCACCGCGAAATGTGGCCAATTCCGACATTTGTTTTGATACCACGAATCACGATGGATGCCGCCTACTTTTCGAAGGCATTACCTAGCTATTTGTTGAAGTTGTCATGGATTTCACCAATTTGGTTATTAGAAAAATTCTGATGGGGGGCCATGAAGCCGGGCTGCAAAGCGGGTAAGCTGTATTTATGACGAAATCTGCTCCAGTGGTTCGATTTTGGTGTAGGCGAAAAAATCGCGAATGCTCGTACATGTGCTGATTCAAACGGTCATAACTTTTGAAAAATCGAAAACGTACAAGGGTTTTTGCATATTTTTGCCTATAAAGGTCTAAACTTAACGGCTGTGTAGGATAGAATCGTCAACCAGGTCCTAAATCCCAAAACTTAGCGTCTAAATCAAGGTTATTTACGGCCATCGGCCGATGGCGATTTCTAGTGGTCAGAATATGCTAAAATTCGCCTTTTCAAGTATGTTGAGAGGGCAAATTCTAACTTTCTTGGCAAACTAGAAAAGGTTTTTAAGCAATCTGATATAAATTCTGTGGCTTAACTATGCGAATCAAATATTTTACAACGTTACATAATATGCCTATTTTTCAATTTTCGAGACGTTGCGACGGTCCCTACGGACTGGGAAATAATTATGGCCCGTAATGCAGTCAGAAAATTATTTCGAATCAAACCAAATCTAATTTAGTTCTTTCCTAGGTAAAGTCTTTCTGTTAACAGAGTTTCAGGCAAAATTATTTTTGACGCAAAATTGACCGGGTGGAAATAAGAGAGACAGCCTCTTAAGAATTGTTAAATTCGACCTGTTTGCGAGACTAATGGATTGCTTTCTGTACTCATACTATAATGCCTGTATACCTCGTAAGGAATGTTGTTAAAAGACAAAACTGGCATCAAGCAAGAATTTTCTCGCATATGTGTTTTTAACTTATTTGAGTATTGGAAGGGGAATGGAAATAGCATACTAGCATAAACCATTCAGTTAAGAGAACCCTCTAAATCCTAACCCAAAGGAACATTATAAGCTAGTTGATAATTTCTTACTTCTTTGGCGGTCTTACTTTGTAAGTAGAGTGGGTGATTCAAAATTTTTTATTTAGCACGTTCAACTCTCTTTTTGTAGAAAGTGACTAAAGGTGAAAGCAACTTGTACTTTTTTCGGGCCCTAAGGTGCTCTTATTTTGTTTTTAAAGTGTCCCATAGTCCATGAAAGAGTAGAAAACTTTAGTTTAAGTTCAGCATTGACCCATTTTGCTCTTTGGCAAATAACTGACATTAATGTTGCAAGAAGTGATAAAAAACATTAAACTACTTCTCCCGTTTCTCCCTACACTTCTCTCGTGCTCTAGCCGCTTCATGCATGCTTTACAACAGAACAGCACACAGTCGAGGCTTCTCTATTTGTTAAATATTGTTTAATGTAATACTGTTTAATTAAAAGTAATTGTGGCTTTTACATTTCTCATGTTGATTCACTTTGGCCGGACACCCTACGAAGCGAAGAAAAATATTCCCCCTTCAAATAACACTTCAAAGGTGTGTCCCTCAGCTGGGGCAACCTGAGTGCTTGAGGTATACAGCACCCTTAGTATTTCAATCATTTACTGTGAGCTGCACAGGTACGGGCGAGTGCTTAGCTTTTTCATTCGTACACATTTATTTTTCTAAGAATCTTGTTTATCAGGCCTTTGCTGAATTTTAATTTTTCAACCAAATTTTATACTCTTTTGAATATTCTCAAATCTCGTAGCATCAGTTAATATTCATGTAGTCAAATTAATTACATGAAGTCTTACAGATGTATGGTAAATTAATTTTTCCTCTGACCCTACCGATATTTTATGTGTAAGGATTGGTAGTGACTCTAAAAGTATAGTCAAATAAGAGTTTTGTGCACGGCCTATGCATCAAATTTATGTAATGAAATATTGCATCCTTCTTAAAATTAGTCCATCAGAATAACAATGAGTTATCGGGTACAGGTATAGCTTTTCACAATGATAGTTTCCAGGTTTAAAAAAAGGCAATTTGCTTGCCAAATTACTCAGTCTCTTTGCCCTGACAGCCCAATCTCATCAAAACATTGGCAACACGAGCGATTAGCAAATTAATGATACAAAAAAGCAAGCTTACACCCCTCTCTATCCTTTAGCTTATTCTGGACATGGCATTTCAAACATAGTATATAAACTACACATTTTCCATTTCTCCAACTAATTATTTCGTAATGGTGTTTACAAGTTGTGGAAAATGGTTGGGTTGAAATATAATACAAATACCTGCCAGTAGATGATCAGTTGAAAAGTTTTAACATATCAGTCAAATTTTTAGTTGATGTGTTTCATTATAACACTTTGCAACAACTCCACCTTCAAATTCAGCAATTTGTCAACATGAGAGAAACCATCTAAAACCTTTCAACCTCTTAATATATCCAATAACGACTTCAACTCAACTCTTTTAAACTAAAGAGAAAATTTGATTGACGTTTGGAATTGATTTCCGTGATGTACATCTGAAATCCAGGTATTATCTCACGTTTTCTACAAATGTCTTCAAGGTCGACTCCTAAGTCTCTCTTCGTCATCAAGTTTTAATTATGATATTCTAGTTCCAGCTTCCCTTCCTTCCGACTGTGCTTGTCTGTCGATCAGTCTCCGTTAGAAAAATTTGTCTTTGTTCGCTGGACTTGAAGTGCTTAGTTTTCCCACCAAATTCAAGGATATCTACCGTCTCAAAATGAGACAATAGAAAGCCGATAACAGATTTCGTAAACTTACACTGGCTTCCTACGTGGAATGTTGGAACATTTCTTTAACGGCAAATTGTGGACATTTGAAGAGTTCATGTGTTAATTTAAACGTTCTCTGTTTTATGATGTGTAAGATTTGGCAGGAATGCTGACGTTCGGCAGCATTCCTGCCATCTTGTTTTTAGCACACAATAGCTGAATCACTCCCCAAAACGCTTTGCCCACTGGATTGAAAACTGAAGCTGTTTACTTCATCTTTTCTGGTTCAGAAATCAGCCATCTTTGCTGTTGGGCCAAATATCGTGTTGTTCTTATTGAAATTCCTCACGCCGTAAAGGTTAGCTCGAGCGAGAAAAAACTGCTTTTACCCCTATATAGCTAATATTCATTTTACTTTGCTCCCCAGAATTGAGTTAGCTTCTTGATCATGAAACAAAAGGCGAAATATAATTTTCCTTTCCCCTGCTTCCTTGTGAAAGCTTTTTAAAGGCTCTTTAAGCAATCACAACGACAGCCGACGCCATCCCGCACCAACAGAATCCAACTGGAGTAGGTCACTAAGTTTGAGAAAACCTTTTTGAAAACCTTCTTAAATGAGATGCAAATGCTTTCCGAATGTAGCATCCTCATCTGTTAAAAAGTTTATCGATGCCCTAGAATTCGTGTTTTGCTTAACTTTATTTTAATGCAGGCTTAATGATCGAAATTACAAATTAAGAAAACCAAGAAAATTAAAACCTCGTGATCGTCTAACAAGAAGTATCTTACGGACTTCCTTTCAAAAGAGCAGCGTAGACGATGAAACAGCACTTAGAATTGCTCTAAATACATTGTAAGCCATTGAGCGACCTGTTTTAAGAGGTTGGCAAGGTTGCAAGAGATTGAAACAACATTGCAAATGGAGATCCTTTTATGATTTAGATATATTCTTTCGTTGTTTGGTAAATAAACTACTTCTGGTGGCTGGTGCGTCTGCTGATAATGCCCACGGCTGAGAGGTTGTCCGAAGAATGTATATTTAGCCGGGAAGCGAAGCTTTGAGGGAAAATGTGAAATTTTGAGGACAATATCTCAAAAAGAGACATTATCAGCCGACGTACCAGCGAGCCAGAAAGGGGTTTATCTATTCATAACCCTGTCATTAATTATTCAATCACGCAAAAACCGCTTATAAAAAAGGCCAGTATTAATCTGAGGGCTGATGGCCAGCTTATTGATATGACTATCACTGGACTCTACAAAAGGAGTTTGTTTTTCTTCCGTGTAAAAAAATAGAGATAAAACTTTTTTGAATAGAATAATGACGTAGACGGGGGTTACTGCGTGATAGCTGTCTTATGATTTTGCACCACGTGACGTAAAGTAGCCGATAAAATCGCACAAAATGGGATAGTTATGTAGTATAATCGAACTCCTGTTAAACAAATTAAGGAGCCAAGCGAAAGGTTTTACCGGCTTACCGGCTTACACAATTAGCTAACCACGAAAATTGCCATAAAATACTTCTAGAACCATCACAATTCAAAAGGTCGAACATAGTACAATTGACAGAGCGCGTTATATCCGAAGTTTATTATTAAAAACTATAAAACGGTAGTCGACGACGTTTCGACGTTATGGTAACGTCATTATGAAGTAAAAAAATTGCAAAATTATTAGGCTATAAATAGTAAAAACAACAATAGGTACTAATGAAGGCGTTTAAAAAATAAATAATTTAAAACTAAACAAGTTTTTTTAAAATGTGCTATATTGGTTTTAGAGGTATTTTATCGCAATTTTTAGGATTTTTTTATAGTTAAATATTTGTTTTTATAGTGAAAAGTTTTCTATGACGCTTCTTTTTCTCCGTTTACTCAATTATCATTTAATGATCACTCAACGATCTTCAAATGCTATAGCCCTAGTCTTGCAGTTGTCTTTAATATGAAAAAAAAAAACTGAATTGCACTTGTCAAGATCCCCAGAACTAATTTTTATCCATATTTTCCCTACATTTTTACTATTCCTGATGAATACAAAACCAAGCGAGGAGTGTGGTCATTCACGTACAGTTCGCTTAGGGTGCAACAACATATAAAGATCGTTTTGTTCCGCAACATTTTCTATACCGTGCCATCCACGTGCTGGTCCTAACACTTAAACTAAATGAAAACAGCTGCCTGGGGTGACGGGTTTGACAATTCTTTTAATTTGTTTTAGGAATCAAGAGATGGAAACCGCAGGATCAGCTGTATCGAGTAGAGAACAGAAGTGGGAGGAATTTAGAGAAACAGTACAAAAAGTTAAAGGGGAATTGAGCTACAAAATTCATAGCTTAACGAAAGCCTTAAAAGAGGTTGAAGAGATCTATGATGGGTACTGTAAGAAGTACCTCAGTGAACACCCTCTCGCATCAGAGACAACTGAGCAGCCGCAGAATGGCTTAAAGCAAATAGTGGATACGTCAGAGGAAGACCTAAAAACGGCAAAATCTGAAGACGTAACCATAATGATTGTGTTTGTGGGACAAACAAGCACTGGAAAATCATCCTTGATAAACGCCTTACTTCGAGACGACCGTCTTCCCACTGGACCATGTACATCAACGATGTGCATCTTTGAAGTTCGTCCTACAGATAAGAAACTGTGGAGCATTATTGACACTGTTAGTGGAACCATACTCACCGAAACAATGAACAAAGAAGAAGTAAAGGAATATTTAGATGCACTGGCTGATGACAAAACTGCTAGAGAAAGAGGGGAGCAAAATGTCAACTCTGAGAGTGAAATACAAGTAAATTGGCCCTGTTACCTCTGCAATCTACCAGAAGATATCGTCTTGGTAGATACACCCGGTTTAAAAGAGAATGACGCATACGACCGAGCTGTCGCTAACTCCTGCAAGAAGGCAGATCTAATTGTGGCTGTGGTGGACTTCATGTCGCTTTCCATTAAGGATGTAAGTACTGTAAACACGGTTCAAAACCTAGATGGGACATCATAGTAGTATTTTAGTGCGGGGGCAATTAAAACTTATCATGGTGCATCGTTCATTGATCTTATATCGATCATTTTGATTGTTTTTTTGAAATTAAATCGGTGAGATGAAAAGAGGTGGATACATCGAGAAACTACTTCAGTTTTTTTTTTAAATCGATAAAACTGTCTGTGCATCTTTTTGGATTGTTTTATTACATTCAAGCACCCAAATGTAAAGGAATAAAGACAGAGGTGTTTCCTCAGTCACTAGCGATTCTAGTCCATCAAAAGTTTGTCTAAAATAAAGGCAGAACAAAAGAAGTGGAGGTTTTGTTCGCTGTTTAATTAATAATGCTTTCGGATCGATATACTTAAATAAAATACCAAAATAGCACAAAAAAAAAAACAACATACAAAAACAACGAAAGGAATTGTTCGCTACATATATGTTATTTGCCGGCTGGGAGGTCCGTATCGTGAAAAACTGTGACCTCGGTCACAGTTTTTCACCATACGGACCGACCCTTAGCCGGTAAATAACATTTTTTTTTTTGAAACTTGAAGAAATTCTTTCCGAAAGAACCCGAATGATTTAGGGCTGTAAATACGGTAAGATCTTCCATAAACTGAAACGTTTTTGAGCGAGTAAACGGTAGTTAAAAAAATAGAGGTGATGCAAATTCAAGAGAGATGCCTCAGCGAAACATTTTCATTTCCGTAACGATAATTTAAAAGGCTTCCAAACAAACTGACACCTGTCAATTAGAGAGCGCGTAAGTAAAAAAAAGCGTAAGAACATTTGAAAAACAACGGAACTAGTTTGGAAAGGCTGTCACGACAATGTTTTCTTCAAAAACAGTCTGATTTAACGGAAAGTATTATTCACTCTCATCGACGATTCATTCATGTACGAAGATTTACCTCTGTTCATTAAGTAAACGTTGAGGAAAGTAATTGTGAGTAAATTCAATTTTTTTATTTTGAATTTGTGAGAGTTTGCTCGTTTGTTTGCTGCAGTGGCGTGTGTAAATCTGGTCTTTCCTCTACAAAAAGTAAATTCGAATGGCACACTCCAACGAGACACAAGGGATTTAATGCGGCCTTTTCTCAAAAAATTCCTTCAGTTTCTGTTGTGCAATTTACGGTACAAATGTTCAAATTGAACGGACTTGGAAAGACTCACCGTGAACGTTTATTTCTTGTAGAACTTTATTTAAAACTTCGCTCGCTCTTTCACTGCGAACAAATTGCTTGCGAAAATTCAGATATTAAATGAATGAAAGTTCCATCGTTTAGGTTAACTGTAACCAAATAACCTGTAACCTCACGTTTTAACTTTCTAGGTACTTTTTGTGAACGATTAAAATTAATTGCAGACGGGTTTTAGGCCGCTTGCCAAGCAACGTAATGTCACTATTGTTTATACAAATTCAATCTGAAACCAATATTTTTCTGTCAACCAAAGTGATTTGAGTGAGAGAAAAGAGAGGATTCACAAGTTATTCATCGGCTTGAGGTAGTGACCGACGTGTTTGCTTAAAAATACTCCCCAGCCGGAAAAACGAGATATATTTATGAAAAATGGCAACGAAAGTTGGGATGGACTCGGCGACTCACGAAAGCGTTACCGTGGCCCGTGGGCAGAGATAGGAAAATACTGACCGGGTAAAGAACCAATCAGATTGCAAGATTCGTTACCGTGCCCTCTCAAAAAAAAAATTATTTTATTTCGCTTCGAAGATTGCAGATGTGCTAAACGAGAAGCAGTACCAGTTCAAGTTTGGCGTCTTTCTAAAATGGGATGAAGTCACTAAAAAAAACCAGTGAAACGAAGCGGCAACAAGCAAGAGAAAAAAACAAAGAGGGATTCCAACAGTTGTTGGAAGGCATGAAAGAGGTTTATTTCGTTGAAGCAGAGAATGCCTCAGTAGCAACGGTAAGTTTTGTATTTGTGTATTCTGGCAATCTAATTGAAGCAGCCTGAAATCGGAAAACGAGGCAAATCGAGGTACTGGAGTATTCTGTAGGTGACAGACGTTTACAAGTTGTAAAATCAATTTGAAGAAGGAAATTGCCTAGGAGAAGCGAAGGAATTCTGTATAGACAACAACTGCCAACGATTACATTAACCAATATATAGAAAATGTTATTTTTAACATAAGTTATTAAACGCAACGCGCACTCTGATCGGTCAAAAATCTCTTGTATATTTGTAGTAGATATATCCGGCTACACCCGTTTTCAAAAACGTTCCACACTGAAAATGTACTCTAAATTTATATATATTTTTTTTTTTAACATCATTTCGTCATGAACGGCAACGTGTTTTGTCTTAACTTAAATAGTTACTATAGCAAACACGGTTCTTGGATCTAAACTCCCGCCTTTGATTGAGGCCAACAGGGTAAAGCGTAAACAACTGGGCAGTCCAATTCGCCTTCCTAGCTTGAAGCAATCGATCAATATGAACGGCGTCCTCCTTGCTCGTGATTTTTTTTCAGAAGGGTGTCATTGGAGTGATGGCTATTACGGCTAACGGTTAAGAATTGGCCACAATACGGTTAACGGTCATATCATTCCATTTTTGTCACCAGAAAGCCCAAGAAATTTACACCATTCACTCTTCCAGTGAACTAAGAGCTTGCTATGATATTCTTTCTGATGCGTTGCGTGGAACGCCATATCAATCACTGCAGCCGAGTTTTACGGCGCTGTCATTCCGAGCAATTCTCATGTTCCAGTGAATTCGGCTCTCGTTCGTTCATAGAACGTACGCCTTGAGCTGTTCGTTTTTTAATTGTCATGTGAAAAAAAACTTGCGTGTTTTTATGAGCCACAATTCGGCCGGATCTCACTGAACATTTCACTGACAGATTCAGTATTAAATTAAAAAAAGATTCACGTAAAAGTGTTAAATTCGACCTGCCGATCTGTTGCAAATTGCGAACTTTGATGGTTTAACATTTTGACAGCTTTTGTGTTGTCCAACCAATCGTGTTATTTGAACCATTCTAAAAAGGATTCTGATGGATTATTGTAGTGTGTTTTATGAGAGTATAGAGTATGCTGACGACACTCTTGCTCGCTTCAAATATTAAAATTTGTTTTGAAAATTGTAAGTAATGCGTGGGGAATTTGACGGATTCTTTATTCTAAACCAATTAAAGAAGTCTTGAATTTGTTCTGCTGTAAAGTAATTGTAAAGTAGCTAGAAGGAAGCGGCTAAAGCACTCAGGAAGTCGGTGGTGATCCCCTTACTCTTCTTTCGTGCTTTAAACGTTCCTGCCTGCTTTATAACAGAACAGAGCACAGTCAAGGCTTCTTCATTTGTTAATAACTATATACCGCACAAGTGAGTTGTGCTTTTCGCATACGGTGATCGGCTAGTTCGAAAATGAATGACAAGTACCTCCGAGCAGCCAATGAGACCAAATCTTGAGTTAATTTCCTACAATTTTTCGGAATAAGTTTTTGGTATCTGTGTGGTATATACTGAGGAGTTATTCACCTTAGTGAATATTTACCTCGCTTAGGTATACACCTAAGTGATATTTACCTCGCGCTTCGCGGCTCGGCTCGGTAGATATCCACGACTACTACTACTTCCCCAAGTATATGCAGCAACCACAACTACCACTATCAAACCACCACAACCAAAACCACTTCAACACCACCATCACCACTACCACTGCTGCTACCACCACTAATACTACCACCACTATTGCTGCCACCGCTACCACTACTGCCATCACTAACACCACCACCTACCACTACCACTTCCACTGCCACCACCACACCACCACACCACTACTACTGCTTCCACTACCGTTTCCAGCACCATCATTACCACCACTACCACAGCTATAACCACCATCATAACCTAACAACCACCACCGGAACAGCCAACTTCATCACCACCTGTATCAAAACCATCACTACAAGCACCACAACCACAGCTAAAGCCACCACAACCACCACAGTCACCACCTCTACAACAATCACAAACATAACCGTACCACTGCTTCACATCGAACACCAAAAGTGCCACCACCACCACCACCATAACCACCACCAAACCACTACCAACACCACTACTCCAATCGCCACAGCTACCACCACTAGAACTATTGCTAAAACAACCACCATTACCACAAAACCATCATTACCATTACCAGAGGCACCAGCTCCACCTCCGCTATTACCAGGACCACCACCGTTACCAAAACTATCACTACTAGCACTTCCACTACCACCACTTTTACAAAATTCAGCACCACAATCAGAATCACCGGCAACACGAACACCACTATAACCACTACTATTACACCAACCAACGCCAAAACCAGCATCAACGCAACTACCACAACCACCACCACCACCACGACCATAAAGACCATTACAACCACCACTACCACTAATAATACTGCTTCTACTCATACTACCATTGCTACTTTTAATAATGATAATAGTAATGATAATAATGATGATTATAATGACAATAATATTATAAAATTATCGTTAAAAATATTATTATCATTTTTATTAATATTTTAATTATCATTATTATTATAAAAAAATCAAACGATTTCTAATGGAGTAAAATACATCATCTGAAATTTTATAGGAATTAAAAAATTATACACAAATCTCTCGGAAACGTTCTCGATGAAACATTGGATACCAAGGGGAGAAGTACTGAATCGGACTGACCTCTGTGCCATTAAATCTAAAATGACTTAGGACTTCCTTTGCGTCACGAAATAGCATTCTAGAGCCTCTGAAACTCATATGAAGAGATCTCAAATCTCAAATGATAAACATTTCTTAGTCATGAATCCAATCCTCTTTAAGAGTTTCTCCGCGCGGTTTCTCAGGAAAATTTTACAGTCAGCTCCCATTCCGCCGTTTGTAGCAAAGACGAGAGGTATAGAGGACCCTATCTCCAACTCCAATACACGTTATTGGTATTACCCTTTCTTCTCGTTCTCTGGCCCTTTGAGGATCTATGCCGTTGGCTTTTTCTCGTAACTCTTTCAGTTAAAACGTGTTACACAGGCATATATCAATTGAAAAATCAACCTGCTTTTTTGATCGATTAAAAAGTTGACCAAACCTCGCTCCTTCCCGGGTCAAGTGGTTATAAGAGCTTTAAGAGAATTATGACGACAGTACTAAAGAGACAATAATATTCCTTGGCCACTGTATATTATCCCGAACTCAACAAGAAAATTGTCTTCTGAAAAGACCACATGCGCTCCTTTTACAAACTATGAAACTTTGGGAAAGGTTTATCCGGGTTAATTTCTGGGTGCATCGTCAAGAAGATGTTTGTATGTATAACTTTAATTAAGAGAAATGAAAGATGCAAGAGGAAAAGACTAAAATTGATCAATTGTTTTGTGATTATTTTTATTATTACAGGGATTGTTACATTATTACAGACGGCAGGAGTATCTTTAGCCGTAGAAACATTAGCAGGGGGAATGGGAACCTTGGGATTCGGAACTACTTTTGGTTCTACAAAGTTGATGGAAAAGCTCGTAGGTGTCGGAGTAGGACAGAGAATAAGAAATGCCATTGGGCCGAGTCAAATGAAGACGGGTAAACTTGAAGAGCACGTGCGGAAAATTTTGGAGGAATTTAAAGCACTACTAGAAAAATAGACAGTATCAGCATCAGAGATTATGAAACAAAACTCTGAATCAATTTCGTCACACATAGAAAAGGCAAGAGATCGTTCGTCTGAAGAAATGTCAGCGCTGGAAAAGGAAGTGCAACAACTTCAGTGAAGTATGGTCACGGGAACTTCTTGAAATCACAGATCGCCTGCAGGATGTCGGGAGAGAATTCGACGAACTGAAGCATGGGTAAGTATTGCCATCAAGAATGTCCCGCTATGTCAAGTTTATCAGATCGGGAAGTTTAGGTAAAAAGATAGTCGGGAACATCTTGAGTTTAAATGATCACAATCGCAGTTGTCTCTGCCACAGTTGCTAGACCGCGCAAGCCAAGATTCTTTGTTTCTTGTGGTTACAAATTATGAAAAAAGAGAAATTCTGGCAACTGCCAGTCACTGGATGTTAGAAAAGTTCTAATGAGTGGTAACATAATTATGGTCAGCAGTTAATTTTGAATATGTTCATGCTTCGTCTCCTTGGGAAGGAGATGGTAAGAAACATTGACTTAAATACATATTCATTCGATCGTTCGGTCGGTTTCACGACTCACGACAAATTTTCCTTCTTTGCGACATAGAGTGGAAGTGATTTCAACCACGCGTTTTACAAAGAATTCTTTTCAAAACCTATCGCTTTAGTTCTGCTAAACTGTTCTGTTTCGTTGCTCCATCTTCGAGTATGTTGATTACTACCAATTGACAATCGCACCAATCAATGTTTTCTTTCGTTTGGGGGCCAAACGTACTACAAAACAAAAAAACAAAAACAAAAACAAAAACAAAAACAAAAAAGCACAGGCGAATGTTACTTGACCGAATTTGTCTCAGGGATATTTTAGCTTTCAAGTGAAATGTAAAATCATGCATGAAAGAACGAGAATAACACCGGAACACTGTCTAGTTGTTGTAAGAGAGGATGTCAGCACCCATCGAACAAATTTGAAATAATTTGGCAAGTCGCCCAAAATTCTATTCCACTTCTACTGTCATATCTTGCAGCTCAAAATGTTCTATTAATTATGGTGTAGTTTTTTTCGTGAAAAAATATTTTAGTTTTCGAGAAATTATTTTTTTCGTTCGACCGCTTAAGCATGCAAATTTTCACTGTGAATATTACCCGACTTGTGTGACCTCATGTAACAAATATACTCGACCTCCAGTATTTCTGTTAACATAATTCTTTGTTTGTATCTTCTAAATTGAATCCCCTGTCATTATTGAAGCTGGCAAAGAAATATTTATTTTTTGGTGAATATTTTTGTAATATATCTTTTCCTATGTCGAAAAGTAACATCCAAGAAAGACAGAATCTACTGAACTCCAAGCTTTTTAAAGACAAAAGGATGGTTAAAATTTTCTGTAAAAATTTCCTTGTGTATTTGTGTTGTTCTACCTTGAGACGAACTCAAAGTCCGGCAAAATTTGCTTGCTAGTGACTATGAAATTTGCATGGTGTGCTAACTTGTCACCAGCGTTCACTGGCATAAATTACTACAATTTGTAACACTCTTACCTTGTTTATTTATGATTTTATTAGTTGCTTCGATTGTTACATTACGCCTGGATATGATTTTTTGACATGAGCCCAGGTTTATTGAGTTTATTTGGGTTTTTCATTCCAGAACGAGGTACGACACTTATCTGTATGAATCCTCTTTAGGAGCGAGGGAAGCATAGAAAAAGACAGAAAAGGGCATAAATACTCGTTTTTACAGGCTTAATTATCTTGCATGTAAACACGATATGAAATTCGGAAATGGGTGAGAATGCTTGTCGTAGAGGTCAAAATCAGCGATCTGGTACCTTTTACGGCGTCTCAAACTTAACTGTACTACCAGAGACCTAGCTGGTACGTTTTGGGGTGTTTTTCGCTCAACAAAATACCTGAAATAAGCATAACTGGGTCGATTTTAGTGATCTGACTTGAGCCTCTAGAGCACATCGATCAAGGAGTTTTTATTATTGGGATTTTAGGGGTAGACATCGATTGTTGCCACTCCCACACAGATGAGACTCAGGTACCATTTATAATTTTATAGGAGTCGTTTTCGAAATTCCCGGCACACACCTCCACCCTGTTATGTAAAGGTGTCCCTCGGGGGGTGATGATACGTGCAGCACACTTGAAATTTAGCAAGGAAAAATTTTGATGTGATTTTTGGTGAAGAGAAACAAGTTTTGTCAGCGCCTAGCAGCTTGTGCGGAAGGGCCCTTTACCACCACCACCACCGTGTGCATAATTGCGCGTCCCGCCAGACGGCGGGAGACCAACAAAGTGTTCAGACATTAGTATAGAAAACTCCGCCTCTGTCTGGATTTTTGGTAGCCTATTGACCAATTCCCAATCGATACTTAGGTCTTACGGGACGCGTAATTTTGCTCACTGTGTTTAGAAGCCTACTTACCGGAGCCAGGCTGTATGAATTTTCTATACATATTGAGTACAATCTGTGATACACGCCTGCCAATTCCCCCATCGGCTTTAAGAATCGACTTAACCCTACCTTTAACCTTTACGATAGCCGTACACCGCTCTAGGTACTCAACATCTACTATTGGAACCACGACTCCACCCAGCATTGTAAAATCATCGATATCTGTTAGCGTCTCGAGGATGTCGGCACGCGACAAAATAAGATCAACTTCATTTTCTGGATCTGAAAACTTGCAACTCCGCAAGTAACTTGAAATGTCTTTTTTACAACTATGCAAGGGAACGACTTGAGATATGCAACTTCGGTCTTCTCCATAACTATAGCCACAAGTTCCACCAGCGAACGATTTAAATGAACAGCAAATCCCCATGCTAACATGTAAGGTGAGACGCTTATACAACAGATCAATTCGCTAAATCAGTATGTAGCTTGTCAATCCAAATGACTTTTGTAACCATTCTTTGACTTCCGCCGGCAAAGGATTCATCGATGGATCTGGACATTTTAGTTTTCTGAACGCAGTAATTCCTGAAAGGTTTTTCTAGATATCATGCAAAAAGGAATAAAAACTACCTCTTGGTATTTCGGAGGTTGATTCATCTTTGAATTTGTGTCACGCTTGTCATGCAACTGATTTTATAAGATGGAGAAGATATATAAACTGGAACTCAAATCTGGCTAGAATGTGGTAAAGCATAACGTGATCATAGATCATGGTACATTTTTTACAAATGGTAGTGATGTATGCCAGTAAACGCTGGCGACTTGTAGGCACATCATGTATATTTCACAGTCGCTAGCAAGTAAATTTTGCCGGACTTTGAGTTCGTCTCAAGATAGAACAACACAAACACACAAGGAAATTCTTACAGTAACTATTAACCATCCTTTTGTCTTTTAAAAGCTTGAAGCTCAGTAGATTCTGTGATATCGGTCATTGTTCAAGTACCTTTCACAGCAGTCAACGGAAACTCTTGTCCATGCATTTATAACGAGCCGCCTGGACTATTGCAATGGCCTATTATATGGACTACCGGACTGCTTGTTGAATAAGCTGCAACGAGTACAGAATGCTTGTGCCAGATTGATTCTTAAAGAACAGAGATTTTGTCATATTACGCCCTTAATTTTTAAGTTACACTGGTTACCAATTAGATATAGAATTGAGTTTAAAATATTGTTAATTACTTTTAAGATTCTTAATTTTTTAGCCCCTTCTTATCTATCCTCTCTTATTTCCCTTAGACCCCCCCTCCAAATATAATTTAAGAAATTCCAGTGATAAGCTTTTACTTAGCCATCCATCATTTAAATCGAAAGCTACACTGGGGGACCGTTCTTTTACCTGTGCTGCTCCGAAACTATGGAACGAACTACCGCTGGATATTAGGAGCGCAAGAACAGTAAATATTTTTAAAGCTAAACTGAAGACTCACCTTTTTCGTAGTGCATTTCTATAGCTTTTTTTTTTTTTTTTTTTTTTTTTTTTTTTATTATCTCGTTTCTTAAAATTATTGTAAGTCTATTTTAATGATAATTTTTAATCTTGTAATGCGCATTTGAACATTTTATGGAATTTGCGCACTATAAATTTTTAATATTATTTTTTTTTTTTTAATATTATTGTTAAAAGTGTGTTTGTTTTAATGCTACTATTTGACATAGGAAAAGTATGTCGGACAAAGATATTCACCAAAAAATAAATATTTCTTTGCCAGCTTCAATAATGACAAATGATTAAGTTTAGAAGATAAAACAAAGGATTATGTTGACAGAAATACCGGAGGTCAGGTATATTTGTTACATGAGGTCACACAACTTGGGTAATATTCACGGTAAAAATTTTCATATTTGAACGATCGAACGAAAAAGATCATTTCTCGAAAACTGAAATATATTTTCACAAAAAAACTACACCACAATAATTAGGACATATTGGCTACAAGATATGAAAATAGGAGTGAAAGCGAATTTTTGGTGACTTGTCACTGTTTGTCTTGTGCATGCTGACATTAACTCTTAAGTTAATATCTGGGTGATCTACTCGTTCATCCAAGAGAGTCAGATTTAAGAAATACATTACTTTCAATTGTGTTCTACAGGTTGGAAGTGAACGACACAGTTCCTTTCGATGACCAGACAGAAAACCAGTCATCCGCCTAAATAGCTGTATACAAGCCCTACACTGTAATTTAGAAGTAGTCCGTGTTACTCAGCAACAAATAATTGTAGTATTACTGTAAACTGACTGGATTTAATTCAAATTAAGTTTTCCCGTTAATAGTCAATCAAGAAAACAACCAGTAGAACACTCATTTTTCTTCATCCAACAAAGCCATTACGACTTTGTTATCATATTTTTACCTTCGGTGGACTCATCAGCACATTTTCTATAGTAACACAATTACTTGGTCAGCATAACCGTGTTTTGTAAATAACCAATCCATATTTTAATTTCATTTGATTTCTCTGTAGAGCAATGCTTAGGCCAGCCAGTCACATGTAATTGAGTCGATCGTAATTCCTTCTTATAAGTGACAGTTGCTTTCATCAATATTGAATTCGTGGACCCATTTCGTATCACCCCTCACATAGCGCTGCTGCGAATTGGATTTACTGCTTTGACTCTTATAGTTCATGAAAGACGTTAAGCAAAATTATATATATTCTCTGGGCGCTTTGCCTTAACAAAACGTTGTTTTTCGCATACAATTACTAACTTCCCTGTCTGTCATTAGGTCAAGATATCGAAGAGGATGGTGGTCAAGTAGAAATAGTGGTGCAAATTTGCGATAAAGCAAAAGCAAAGGAACAAAACGTCTTAACTTTCCGGTTCACATTTTCAAAGCTACATTAAATATGAACAAATCTTCCTAAAGGCGAATTTAGTACTTTATTTAAAACAAATACATGAGGTGTCTGAAATATATATGATTATTATGCATTTCCAAGGCTCCATTAAATATAAACAATTTCTTAGTAACCTGAGCCTCTCTGCCCAAAGAATTTACATATTGTGTGTTCGCTGTCTCTGCTGGTTATAATTTGACACCAACTAGAACACCTTTTAATTTGCCAAGAAAAGTATGAATCGCAAAATGTTTTGACCGAGAAGAAAAACACTGAAACTACTTGCAAAATACTATATCCAAGCCATATTAATGTATTAATTAACTAATGTGGCCGTTAACATATCGCTAACAGACAATAATTCTATGGAAATGTTCATAGCTGTACGGAAGCTCGGCTTTTTGCCAGTGATCAAAGAGTCTGTACGTACGAAGAAACTGCTAGGAACATTAATGAGGTGATAGTAACACTTCATATTCAAAATCGTCGATAAAATAACCTTTGGTCCCTTTTGACGCATCAACACTAGATTTCATGACATTACCTGTAAAAACTAGTGTTACTCCGTAAATTGATTCTCAGAGGACCCGGGTTTTTTTTAAACCAAACCATTAGTTACGGGTTGAAGGTCAAGATTGTTTTTTTTTATTTTTTATTTTTCATTGAACTCAGAACATGAAATATGCGTTTTCAGTGGAAAAATGCCATTTTCAAAATAACCAAAGTAGATACTAATAAGGAAGGAGTTACTTAGGAGCTTTTAAAGCGAATAATTCCTAAGAACAGGATATGAAATGTAAATATAAATATGGCAAGGTAATCTCTCCCTCCTCTTTTCCCAACAACCTTGCCAGATTTGTCTTTCATCGATCGAAAACATAGTTCGAGTTATCGGTACCTCGCGACCGCACACGACTTTCAGCCTCCCTTGACCTCAACTTATCAAATATATTTTTTTTCAAGTTTATCACATGAGAAGACACAAGTGCTTTGTACTGTAAGTATTAGGCCCGCTGGGCTCGTCTTTTTCAGGTGTGATAATCCCGAAGTTAATTTGATTTAATCTCATTAAATATGTCATGGGCCGACTAGCTTAAATTATCAGCACTCTCGAGTTAGCAGCTGGATAATGTTACTATGTCGATATTCCAATGTCATGGTTTTTGTCCGCCTATCTTTTCTTTGCAGTTTCGTATTTCAAGCGCGTGATTCAGTAGCAGTAGAGATGGCACCTAGGAAAGATTTCTCGCCCTTCACTCCGGTCATCAGCCCTGAATTAAGCCCACAATTGACTTGGTTCATTCTAAGTTCGAAAGTTTGTGGATCAACGCCGACGCAATACTTTAAGCGGTCGCCTGTTGTCGCCAGTTTTCCAAGCGATTTTCAAAGAATCGACAGTGCCCACATTCGGCTGCTAGATGGCCACCATTACTCGAACAAGAAGTCCTCTAATGCAACGGAAATTGTCTGTTCCTCGTTTGGGTTGATAACCACTCTGCTTCGCCGTTCTTCTTCAGAAAGCTCTGAGTTCATTTTGCAGCTGAGAGATTTGCTGAACTCAGTAGATCTCAGTGAAATGTCTATCGGCGAAGAAAATGAAGGCCAAGCAAACAAAGAACGACCACGTGCTTCACGATGCTTGGAAATGCCAACGACACCAACGCACAAGACATCATCTGTGGCCATGACACCCCCAAACAGTGGAAACTCGTAAAGAGCTGAAAAAAAGAATGTTTCCCAGAATCTAAAGGAGATCAGCGAAAAGGAAGATTTGGATACTCCAGAAAAGGTGCTGTTGATGAAGCAGCGAAGCAGTCGAGTCATCAAGGACGTGCATGACGTGTGCGAAAGAAACAGGGAAAGTTTGGCGATGGTGCTTTCGAACATGTGCGCATTTGGCGACCCAGAAGCGAAGGCCATCGTCAATGAAATTGTCGAAGAGATGGCTGTAAAAAGGGGAGTAAAGAGGAGTGCGGAAGAGCTAGTTGGCGACGACACAATGTCGAAGTACGTGGCGTGCCTGAGAGTTCCTGATTGGAAACTTGTCCTTTTCCAGGCGATGGCGAGAGTTTCTTCGAAAACGTGGCAATCCGTGATAAACATCACAGGGCTCAGAAGGACGGGGGTAAGATGTTTAGTTACGTTGGTCTTACGTCGGTATATTAATATTCATACTTGGCGCCCCGGCTAAGGGAATAAAAGAACAAAAAAAGAACTATTCCATCGCGAGCCTCAATGTTTATAGCAGCTCTTTCTTTTGTTTTATTCAGTTATTCTCGTAAGCGAAGCCTAGTACAGGAAAAGATAAGCAGGCTTTTTTTTTATTACTTAAGCGGGCGTTTTACTCAACTGCGTCTTCAAAATTACCCTATGTCTGTTTTCCAGAGCAATTTGAGCCAGTGGTAAGCTCTTTTTCAGCTGGTGAAATATGCTCGAAGCCGGCTCTTAGTGACAAACCCTGGACCATTAATATAGAAGGTCATCGCCCTACTTCTAATTTCATGACACCAAGTGTAAATTTAAATATAACCTTTAAAGTTTTTTCCCATGAAATTCTGTTGATAGATGCTGTTTGAACTGGTAGAGCTTTATTCATCAAGAACTCAAAAATATATATGAGGAAAATAAGCGGTGCTTTAACGGTAAAAGCAGTACTTTAACTCATTTTTTCAAATTTGAAGAACATAGGGCTGGCAAAGTGATAAAAGTTTCTCATAAAATGGTCACAAAGACCCTTGCTGACTGTAGCAATGTTATTGTTACAGGTCAAAATTATGTTCAAGGGAAGATTTTTTAACCTACAGAGGTTGATTCTCTGTTTCCTTTGTTTCCTAGGACTAGTAGGAGACAAAGGAAACAAAGAATCAACCTAGATTAAAAAGTTTAATCTTTGCTTTTTATCACCTTGCTTTCTATTATTTTCTTAGAAATCCTCTCACACGCCTCTCCTCCTCAACTTAAACCAGATCAAGGCAGCTAAGAAGAAGGAGTTTGTAAGGAGTATATGGGGGTTAAGAAGGTGGCTCCTCCTATACAAGGTTTCTCTGTGAATTTGAGTTCTGTTGTGGAGTTAGTCGTAAGGGAACAAAGGCTGCACCAGCTGTCTTCACATGCTTTGTGACTGATGATGAAGCTTGATGGGAGACCATTTTGGGGTAAAATTATGTGATAATGCATGCTGTCTCTGCAGTTTTGTCTGTAAATTATTTTATTATTATTGTTATAAAAGGTCGTTCCCCACTTATGATAATCATCCACATATTTTTTTTGTGTGTGTGTGTTGTACTTCCAAATCAAAATAACTATAACTGTTAAATTTTTTTGGCCTTGCAAGCAGTTCTTTGTATGGAAGGTGGTCATTATAATAATGTGTAAGGTGAAATGGGTTGGTGAAGGGTGCAGTTTTTGTCTTGACTAATTTAGTGTAAAAAATTGTTTTGCAGGTAGAGCTCAGGTGTTGTTTGGAATTGTTCTCCGTGATGGTGCTGTATATAGCCAGCAAAGTGCAAAATCAGTCTACCCATTGACAATTGCCAACTGTAAAGAAGACAGGTTTGTGAATTGCAACTTGCTTGAACTCTTTACTACCTTCTGGCTAGAATATGCTTGTGGTTGTATGTGCATTTAACTTAAATAACACAATGACAGATTTTTGTAAGCCCCACTCAGTTGCAATATCACCAGGTCATGCATCCACTCTGAGATCTAAGTGGATTGATATCAATATCCCTAATTTGGCTTTAATGCACTAAATATAACAATGACTGTATAGATTTTTGATTTTTGTTTGTTGACAGAGACAACCTCAAGATTCTTTTTGAGGACATCAACCACCAGAAGAAAATATTAAAGGAAGAAAGAATGACAGTTGATGGTAGACATTACACCGTTGAATTTCTGGGTAAGAATCAATGTTAGTCTTGGAATTTGCTTTAAAAGTCAACTTCTTGTTCATGATACTATTTATAGCAATTTAATTATTATTGTGTTTCTACCCACTTGGTAGTCTGACTAGAACTAGATTGAAGCAGTAGTCAAACTATAGTAAATTAAGAGTTTTTTTATATTGTAAAACATGTTCAAGGTTTAACTGCAGCAGCAAGAAATAAAACCTGGAATTTATTACTATTTTACGTCAGAAATTGATTTGACTACCCTTTTCTTTAGATACATTGGAGATTAATTTCCTGGAAAGTTTAGCATGTTAACTTTTGCTTTCCCATTTCTGTTATCAAACTTAGTTGTACTGGACTACAAGACCTTGGTACTTCTTTTGGTGAAGAGGACAAATGCTTCATTCATGTTAGGTGGTAGAGGTGTCAGTGTCGAGTTCTGTTTCATCTGCAATGCTATCAGGGTAAAGTACTCAAATGATATAGAAATTAGTATGGGGCAACTGCAACTAGTGCTGTTAAAGTTGAGGTTCATAAAAGTGCTGCATCAGTTCATCAACTTTTTTTACAGTGATTTCAGATGACTTTGATCTTTGCCAATATTTGGGAAAATAATTAGTGAGTGATAGAAACATCAAGTAGCTTTAATTCAGTCAAAAAAAGTTGTAAAGTACTTATCTAAAGGTCATTCTGCTTTAAAACATTTAAAAATCACTGAAAGTATGAATACATGTACTGTAAAAAGAACAGGGTTCACACAGAGTCATAAATTCTTGGAAAAGTCTTGATTTTCCAGACCTGGAAAGAGTCTTGAAATTGAAGATAATGTCTAGAAAAATAGTTCAAGTCTGGAGTTTTTTTTATAGCTACAAAAAGTGCTTAATAAGTTCATTTTTTTCCCCTGTGGTCAATTCAATCTCGCCTGTAGCTAAGACATTCAATCACAGAATGAGAAGTTTCACAATTGCACCATGGTTATTGTACATTTGCAGTGCATCATGAGAGAAGCTTGGTTTCTGCATTTTTCAAGATCTCTATTGATCACCTATTTGACCATCTTCAGTCTGGAAAAATAAATTGATGTTTTGGAAAAAAGGTCTGGGATTGAATTTTGGATCCAAAAATCTGCATGAACTCTGAAGAAGATAATCGGAAGCATGATAAATGTGTAGTTCTATCTGAAATTATAATATTATATATTATTTGATAGTGTGCCGGTGCCTGTCAGGGTTGCAAATGCCATGATGTTGCTCCAGATGAGACATGCCTGGATTGCCTCAGAAGCAAATGCAACATAGGAAGGTGTGTAGGCATTTGATCATTGTCATATTAAATTACATTCAAACACATAAAGGGGATTTTCTTACTGTTACATAACAAAATGAATTTTGTAAGCCATGGGGAAATGACTTGTACTAAAGCATGAACTGAAATTAAGTGTATAGTTTGGGTTTTTTTTTTAATTGTTGCTAGTAAACTAAAATCCTCATTCAGGATCTTTTGCCAAACTTGGAAGGTTGCCAAAAATTGTTTTTATACTGTCAGGAAAGGAGTACTCATAGTTTGGTAATTGAAAAAGAAAAAGAAAAACATGAAATAATTCATTGCTTCAGAAAATCAATCATTCTTTGAAATTGTCTTGTAGATCAACTGGTATACGAGATGATCTGGTTTTTCTTTTGGACGAAGAGCTTTGCAACATTCAACTTTGTGCTCTCCATATGGAGATGCGCAACACTGAACAGTTGTTGGCATCCATTGGTCTTCTTGCATACAGGGTAGATTCCCTAGCAGAAGCCAATGCTGCCTTGAAAAACTATGGCCCAGAGTCATTTCATGGCGATCGCATCTCAGTAAAGAAGAAGTCAGATCAACAGTCTGCTATTACAAAGCAGAATATCCATGTCAGTTCAATGTCTGGTAAGACATTTCCTAAAATAATGTTTTCAAGAGATGTTTTCCATAGGTCTTAGGTAAAATCTTTTTTTTTTCTTTTTTAATTTACTCTCATGCTGTTGTGTTTCAGGTCTAACAGAATGGGAAATCCTTCAACACCTTGAAGAAATTGTAGAACTTGCCCTACCACTGGATAAATTCAAGAAGCTGTATGAAGATGTGAACACAGCAAAAAATTTGATCCTTAACAGAGTTACATTTTACCAGGCTCGTGTTGATGTTAGTAAGAAGCAACTATTATTTTTATACTTGCAACTTGATTTAACATCATGTAGTCAAGTTCACTAGTAATGTGTATTCATTGAGTTCATACAGCGTCCAGACGATCCGTCGGAGTGCGCTTTAGGAATCAAATACCTCTGTGAGTATTTCTTTTATTGCTACAGTCTCCTATGTAATTTGCCCATCTTATGACTAATTCCATCACACAGCAGCTTGAAATTAATGGAGCTCCATTAACTGAAAGCTACTGCATGTAGGAATATAGGTGAGCTCAGGATTGAAGTGTGAACCATTGTTTAATTTTAGCATGTCTGATTCTGTTAGTTAACACACCTTCAAGTGTAGAGTAACACAGAATTTTCTATAGTTAGAGATCCATAGGTGCAGTGTAACCCAGTGTTTAATTTAGTTCAAGGTAACTAACATAGGCTGCACTTTAGGTGGTACACCCATGGGTGCAGTGTAACCCAGTGTTTAATTTAGTTAAAGGTAACTAACATAGGCTGCACTTTAGGTGGCACACCCATGGGTGCAGTGTAACCCAGTGTCTTATTTAGTTAAAGGTAACTAACATAGGCTGCACTTTAGGTGGCACACCCATGGGTGCAATGTAACCCAGTGTCTCATTTAGTGAAAGGTAACTAGCATAGACTGCACTTTAGGTGGCACACCCATAGGTGCAGTGTAACCCAGTGTCTTATTTAGTTAAAGGTAACTAACATAGGCTGCACTTTAGGTGGCACACCCATGGGTGCAGTGTAACCCAGTGTCTTATTTAGTTGTAGGTAACTAACATAGGCTGCACTTTAGGTGGCACACCCATGGGTGCAGTGTAACCCATTGTTTTCTTTAGTTAAAGGAAACTTACTTTGGCTGCATTTAGGTGGTACACCCATAGGCTGCATTTTAGGTGGCACACCCATAGGTGCAGTGTAACCCAGTGTTTTTTTTTAGTAAACGGTAACTAACATAGGCTGCACTTTAGGTGGCACACCCATGGGTGCAGTATAACCAAGTGTTTTATTTAGTTAAAGGTAATTAACATAGGCTGCACTTTAGGTGGCACACCCATGGGTGCAGTGTAGCCCAGTGTTGTATTTAGTAAAGGTAACTAACATAGGCTGCATTTTAGGTGGCACACCCATAGGTGCAGTGTAACCCAGTGTTTTCTTTAGTAAATGGTAACTAACATAGGCTGCACTTTAGGTGGCACACCCATGGGTGCAGTATAACCAAGTGTTTTATTTAGTTAAAGGTAATTAACATAGGCTGCACTTTAGGTGGCACACCCATGGGTGCAGTGTAGCCCAGTGTTGTATTTAGTAAAGGTAACTAACATAGGCTGCACTTTAGGTGGCACACCCATGGGTGCAGTGTAACCCAGTGTTTTATTTAGTTAAAGGTAACTACTGTAGGCTGCACTTTAGGTGGCACACCCATAGGTGCAGTGTAACCCAGTGTTATCTTTAGTAAACGGTAACTAACATAGGCTGCACTTAAGGTGGCACACCCATGGGTGCAGTGTAACCCAGTGTTTTCTTTAGTAAACGGTAACTAACATAGGCTGCACTTTAGGTGGCACACCCATGGGTGCAGTGTAACCCAGTGTCTTATTTAGTTAAAGGTAACTAACATAGGCTGCACTTTAGGTGGCGCACCCATGGGTGCAGTGTAACCCATTGTTTTCTTTAGTTAAAGGAAACTTACTTGCTTGCATTTAGGTGGTACACCCATAGGTGCAGTGTAACCCAGTGTTTTCTTTAGTTCACGGTAACTAACATAGGCTGCATTTTAGGTGGCACACCCATGGGTGCAGTGTAACCCAGTGTTTTATTTAGTTAAAGGTAACTACTGTAGGCTGCACTTTAGGTGGCACACCCATAGGTGCAGTGTAACCCAGTGTTTTCTTTAGTAAATGGTAACTAACATAGGCTGCACTTTAGATGGCACACCCATAGGTGCAGTGTAACCTAGTGTTTTATTTAGTTAAAGGTAATTAACATAGGCTGCACTTTAGGTGGCACACCCATAGGTGCAGTGTAACCCAGTGTTTTCTTTAGTAAACGGTAACTAACATAGGCTGCACTTTAGGTGGCACACCCATGGGTGTAGTATAACCTAGTGGTTTATCTAGTTAAAGGTAATTAACATAGGCTGCACTTTAGGTGGCACACCCATGGGTGCAGTGTAGCCCAGTGTTGTATTTAGTAAAGGTAACTTCCTTTGGCTGCACTTTAGGTGGCACACCCATGGGTGCTGTGTAACCCAGTGTCTTATTTAGTTAAAGGTAATTAACATAGGCTGCACTTTAGGTGGCACATCCATGGGTGCAGTGTAAGCTAGTGTTGCTAATGAGTGACTGTAACCCAGTTCAGTTTTTTCTAGAAAGTGCTGTCTTTTAAGTAGCATAAAGACATGCAGACATTCTCTTTAAGACAATGAAATTGGTGTGAGAGAACATTTCTTCAAGTAGTATGGTAGCACAATGTTATGTAATTAATGCATTTTTCCAAATGTTTAGTACTTTTCAGAAGCTTTAAGCAAGGGCACTTTTGTAAGAGATTTTGGTACACATACTGAGATAATTGATTTGGAAGGCTCAGGTTTGTAGAACAACAGTAGTAATAACATTTTGTTTTTTCTTTGGTTACAAGTTCTGATTTTTTCTCTCACTGGCTAAAGAAGGTTTACCATACTATAATATGTCTTTATTGAGTGTTTTATGCTGAAATAAAAAAATTTTGGAAAATGAGTTTGGAAAATATTAAAATAATTAAACTTATTGCTAATGATGAGCTTAGGAGCTGGTACCTTAAAGGTTAGTGTGGGGCTAAAAGCAAGCAGCAGAGAGGAGGTATATATGGCAACCCTGGAAGTGGGAACCACCCCTCAAGCAGCCCACTAACTGACACCATCACACTGAGAAAGTTCAGTGGAGATACTTATTGATGATAATACTCACCTTAAAGGAATACTTACAATACTGCCCGCCACTCAGATGATCAGCAAGCAATTATTGCGAAGTTAATACGATACAATGAGCAAGCAAGGCAACAATGCAAATGCAGCATTAGCCACAAACACAAAGGAGACCCAGCAAAAACCCCAAGGGCTGCCACAGAGGTCATTTACTGCAAAGGCAGAGACCACCGACCAGCTTTGCTCCAGTTTAACTTTGCCTAAATGATATTTAGCCACATCAAAAGGAGCTTTTTGTTTTTAATTCCTCAAAAATATTTACCCAAGGAAAACAAAATGTTTACTTGCAACAGTTATTTGAATGATGTGATAACATATAGGGCCTCTCATTACAGTCTTTCTCAGGTCTTATTTCAGTTTTTGGCTATTTTGCAGATATTAAAGCTGACATGGAGTCTCGCCTTGTTCAGTGGCAAGGCAAGTTGGATGGGCTACATGTCTTTTTCAAGAAGTTGTGCAAGTCACGCAAAAAGTCACTATTCACTATTCACTACTGTTTTTCTTGCGTTAGATCTGCTTTTTTCGATTCGATTGCACCTTGACTATTTTTGTACCGCTACTCCTCTTGCGTTATATTTATTTAAATGAGCAATTTTTAAAAGACAGAAAATGTCCTTCTTTCAATAACGTGGCGGAATAAAACAATTACACAAAGATATTACTATGATACTTTTTGGTAGGAAATATTTTATTTTTGACCAGCACTGTTATGCCTAATTTTGTCCATAAACGGACAAAATTGCTCCGATTTTGAGACGACATTACAGCTTTTTGGCAGCGATCGCCAAGAAACTGAATGTGCTACGGAATTACACCCAATTAAGAAAGATATTTTCTCCCTTCCAGCAGTCATTAGAAAGCCGTTTTGTCCCCTCAAAATCGGATGTAGTTCACACGTTAAGGCTAATAAACTGATAAAAAATGATTTACAATTATCCTGTTGTCAATAGGTTCTTATTCACGTAAGCTGGGTCATAAACTATTTCTTGTGGCAGAATCATGGGGAAGAAGTTGTCCTTCATTTTAAAATCGCTGAAATTGTAGTAACTAAACTTTAAATGAAACTATTGTAGGAAGATTCATTACTTGACGAGGGAATTCCGCATTTAATTGCACGCGAAAAGCGATACGCGAAAAGCGATACGCGAAAAGCGATACGCGAAGCGATGAGTGCGATATCGGTTTTTAAGTGCAATTTAACGCGGAATTCACGAGCCAAGTAACGGATTTTCCTTGAATCACATATTTGAATAAAAACAAGATAAAAAGAAAACAACATTACTTATATTTGTTATGTATACGTGGATGCGAAACAATATCACTTAGCCCCGCTAAACAACTCCCCTCGTCAACCAATCAGAAGGCGAGATTTTATGCAATGATGCGATTCTATCTGATATTAGGTCTGCTGACTTGGAAAATACTACACCTAAAATTTAACATCAGCAATCTTACGAGAGAAAACATAAAGGCTAGGTCTCTCTGACGGCTTATCTCTGGTTGACATTTTAACCAATTCTCGGACCCTTTCATAAAAACCCAACAAAGACGATATCGCCTTAAGCATTCTTCCCAATGAAAAAATGTCACTGGCAACGCTATAGAGTCGTTCACTAACAACCTCAGGGGCTAAATAGCTTTTCCCTTTGCATTTCATAACGGTGCCGTTTCTGCGGTACAACGTAACAGATGAAACCTTAAGGCTCTTTCCAAAGTCAATAAGAACTGGGCTGAATTCCCCAGAGGCTGAGGGCCGTTCTAGTACAACATTGTTTCCTTTGATGTCGTTATGAAGGTATCCTTTAGAGTGCACGTGGTCTAAAACACTGCATATCTTTTTAAATATAGAAATACAGTTTGCTTTAGTAACTGCGTTGTTATCGGCCGCTTGATGGAGAGTTACACTTTCTTGCTGAACACCATGAAATTGAGTCACAAGGCATAATGGTGAGGCCTTTGTAACAACACCAAAAATCATGGGTAGATGTGGATGGTCCCCCAAAGCAGAAACGACCTTTGCTTCGTGGAGTAAATCTCTCCTTGCTCGTTCTTCATCCTCTGACGTTTCGTTGTGAGTCATTTGCTTGACAATAACGTCGATGCCTCGATAGCGCCCGAGAAAACACTGTCCAAAGCCTCCACTCCCAACTGGATTTTTTAGACAAGTATTCAATGTTTTCTGGCCTGAGTTATTTGGGTTCAAATCTGGATCCATTGCTCGCTGTGGTTTTTTTTTCCAATTAAAAGGTTTGATGACGTTTCCCACGAGGTTTTCGAGACAACTGCGTCGGCACCAACAGCCATTTGAATCATCTTAGCAGCTCTTGAACAACCACCCAAGGCCTCTTTCTTCTCTTCACTGCCTGGTTTAAGCGCGAAGATATGGGGTTTCTTGACATTTTGTGGCTCAAAATGTTGGTCCGAAGGAGGCAGTTTCGTTTCCTTAGCCTCAGAAGTACAAGGCACCAACTCATTCGCTTCGCGGTTGAGTGATTGTAGTTCAACATTTTTATTCGTTGAATTCGGCATTTGCTTCCCTTGTTTCCTCTTTCTCCATTCTTTTCTCTGTCTGTTTCTTTCTTCTGGAGTGTTTTTTCGTGATTTAATAACCCGCTCTTTTCGTTCTTCTTCATCTTCAAAATCCTTCACAAATTCCGCCATCATTATGTAGCTAATTGATCTATTTCCGAAACACAAATGAGCTCGTGATCGGTGTAAAAGTATGAAACAAAGGCTTGTTGATGTGCAGGAAATTCAATGCTCGTTTTAATGAACTTGATGATATGTGAAAGCCCGAGTTGCTCTTCAATCGTTTCTGGTTTGCTTTCATTACGTGACATTCTTCTGTCAGAAGAGTGTCGGGAAAAACACCTCGCAAGGATCGTACGTGACAACACCCTCCACGCCTCGACTAACGCTAAAAAAGCTCCATACAATTCCTTATAATTTTATTATAAGGAATTGTATGGAGCTCTCCGGGATACTTACAGTGCAAGCCCTGTGTGTCTTCTCATGAGTAGAATCGTTAGTGAGATCATTCTTTTGGCTTCCCATGGCACTTCCGGCGTTTCTGCGTTGTCGCTAGTTATCAAGCTCTGACAAACGAAACAATTAATCAAATATTCCATAAGTGACAACAAATCGCTAAGAAATAACTCAGTACAGTCTTACAAGTTTGATTTAAGTTTGTGCAGCCTGTTTTCGTACTTTTTAACGTTTTTGGCTAACGATTTACGGCGGCTGAAAATATAGTTTTCGTCCTCAACGGAGAGAAGTCGCCGTCAGTGGAAATGGAAATATAATTGTTTTTACCAGGCTGTTGCTCTTTGGGGTGGATGCAGCAAACGATTAGAAACACGAGGTTAGAGTTAAAGAGTTGTTGATTCTCACTCTTCAAGGTCAAGCTACCGGCAGTAGATGCTCTGCCGATCTCCTGCACCCTGTGTGCAGGAGATACCATTTTGAGGTGGCATACGAAAATGACACTCCCGTTTTTTCCTTCTTCAGAATTCATATATTCAACCTGTTTACTGAACGCAACGAATCCAAAACTTCACACTTTTGGATTGAGCGCGTGACTAGTATTATGGAGTTCCCTTAAAGCTTGACTACAGACATGAATGGACCTTCTTTTATGGATTAAGTTGCACTCTTTTCCTCATGGATTAAAGCCTTACGGGCAAACTTCAATTCTCTTTTCAGCTGTAAATTGCTTTACTGATAGAGGGGCTTGATTAATTCCAAGATATGTTGAAATTACTTTAATATCTCGATTCGAAGAACAGTAAAAATCAGCTTGCTTTATAGGAGTTAACATTCTTAAATGGAATCGACTTACTGTTCGCCTATCATTTTTCCTTTCTGCAAACGTTGGCTTCGAAAATTAGCTTTTCGCTAGTGCTTCTACTGATCACACAGTGGCGTTTATTGTGATAAACAAGATGTGAAAATATCGTTATTAGAGACCCGTAGGAATAACAATATTGTTTTAGCATGAAACGTTTTTACTCTAGCAAACAAATCGTCACTAGTTATAAAGTAGGTAATTCGTTATCATTCCTTACATTCACCAAGCTCTATTTCTAATAGATTTACATCGCGTTTCTAAGAAGAATTAACTGTATCTCCCATGGTTCACAGTAACATTTCTTTTAGTATAGTTTTCGCAGAATCTGCATACATATATTTATCTCATTATCTTGAATAAAGGGTCACTGGATTTTTCGCATTGGCATTGGTAAATTTTTCACGCTGCCCTCTTTAATGTGCTTGAAATATAGTGTATTACTCAAATGTTGGCCTTGTAACGAAGAAGTGCTCAGGTTTTCTTGAGACAACAGTGTTCCAAAAAGAGCTAAAAGTGATGATCAATCCGACTGGAAGGGCCGCATGTTCAGGAACATGAGATTTGAATTCTTGACTAAAACTGAAAGAGGCATACAAATTTTCGTTCTTGTTGGTTTATGAAGACCGATGATACGATCAAAGAGGATTTCTGCTTTAACGATAAGACGCTTTAACCACCCCTGCACCCTCCATCACCCCCCCCCCACCCCACACCCCCCCCCCCACCCCACACACCCCCCCCCACCCCCACACACCCCCCCCCTCCCCCACCCCACACCCCACTGTACCTTAAGCCCTCAAAAGCTGAAACAGGCGAGTCTATAACCTGACTTCCTTTGTTTGGAATTGCATGATTATATAATTTTGCTGTGTAAGTTACCGCATAGTAACATTCAATATTATTACTATTTAGATTGTATTAAATACTCTTGCTCAAGCATTCAATAGTGCATGGTGTTTCTTACCAATGCTCATACCCAAACTAAACATTGATGTAAGGAATTGGTCACAACATATGTGAGTTTTAAAGGGTTAGAATCTGGAAAAGTAAGGATCCTCCTTTCATTAGGACTGTCTCCACCCCTTTAATGTTTAGGGCACATAGATGAAGAGAACATTTTTTCCGTATTTTGACGCGTAAAAGTTAAATTAATTGTTGTCCATGTAATGCACAAAACAAGAATATAAATAACTTAGCTTGAAAGGTTAAAAAATTAAAATAAGAGAGTTGTGCAAACCATCATATCCTACTTTTTATCCTCCTCTGGATATTTGCTCAAATAACATAGTAAGTATCAGTCTCATTCACTGTCACTGTCTACTGAGTTCGTGGAAAGATGATAACCTCAGTATTTTTTAGGTGAAGACCGAAAACCTGCCCTCTAATACCACAGATAGTTCAATTGTGATAGCCCTCAGTTAGAGCGAGGCCCTGTTACCAATTAATCATAACCTTTTGGAAATTTCCCAGTTTTTCTTTCGTGGTAAGTGGTTGTTGCTATGGTTATTGTGATCAATTCTGTGATTTGACAAAGAACTAACGCTCGAAACGTCAGCCTTTAAACTCTTGACGGTGGCCAATTTACATTTCCATATCTCGGACTTATCATTTTTTAATAGTGTTAACAAGTTGTCGAAAATGGTTGGGTTGAAATATAAAACAAGGACTTGCCAGTAGACAATAGCAGTCAAATGAAAACTTTCTACAAATCATCTAAATTTATTGTTGTGTTTCACGTTGACATGTTGTAACAACTCTACCATAAATTCAGTTATTTGCAATCATGAGAAAATACCGTCTTAAAATTTCCAACCTATTTAATATAACCAATAACAACATCAACTCAACTTTTAAAATGGACAGAAAACTTGATTGATGTTTGGAATTGATTTCTGTGATTTACAAATGAAATGCAGGTACTATCTCAAGTTTTCTACAAATGTCTTCACGGTCGAATCCTAAGTCTGTCTTCTTCATCAAGTTTTAATTATGATATTCTCGTTCTAGTTTGTCTTCCTTTAATCAAACTTTCGCAGCACAAGAAGCATGATGGACAAATTTCGTATTTCAGTAGCTAGAGCTGCTAAGATCATGGACAGTTGGCTTAAAGACATCTACATCCTATGCAGTTACAGCAGAGGTTACTGATATAAATAACAGAAAAAATCCCAAACAGACGCAGTCTATTTTCAGCTAGAGGAAGATATGCAATCATGAAAAATGCATGGCCAGAAGAGAAAAAGTGAAAAAAAATAGTAGGTTTAATCATGAGTTGAAAGTGACTTTTTAATTAATTTTCTACGCTTATCAGGAGGTTGAAACGTTGGGGAAAAACGCTGGGGCAAGCAATCATACCTGATAACTTTAAAAGAAGATATAAGAGAAGCCCATACAATTCTTTCGTATTTTTCCACTGACTCACCGTTCTCACGCGTATACCCTTCAATCGACTGGTGACGTCTTAACTCGAGGTAAGTTTACCGTCGTTTCTTTCCATTTTTGCTCATTTCCCCAAACCAAAATTATCATTCACGCTCAATAGAATATAATTTCAACTGATGCTGACATCATCCACTTCATCTGAAGAAGAAAACTTGCTCAAAACATCAGGAACAAGGTTCTCAACCGCTGACTAACATGCGTGTCGAGCGCTTTGCAAGTTGTGAGAACATCGTCTCTCGGCTCCATACCCCGTCAATTCTCCCTCGGCCCTCCCCCATCCCTCAGACTGTTCAATAAATCCCTCGAAGAAACTCTTCTACAGCCAGTAGTGAAAAGTTTTATGACAGGTTTTATCAAAATGAAGGCTGGGAAATAAACTGACAAGAGCTCCGCTTTTACGCTTGGCTAAATCTTTATATTACTAATCACTTTAAGTGTTTTGCCTTTCGTCGTTAAAAAAGAAACTAGACCCTATGAGCAGGGTAACTGGGATACCTGGATGGTACTGGATCCTTGGAATCAAGTGTAGTGATACTACGGGTGTCGGACTAGTATACTGAAATAGTGCACTCAAGTCTGGCCAAGGGCATACACCTATTTCAAAACATAGGCATGCTATGCATGCACGAGTTACTTTTTTGTAGGGTAGGTGGATTACTTGAAACATTGTGAGTGATGTCTACATTCTTACAAAAGGAGAGGAGAATATTAATGTGGGAAAGAACGAAAATGTCGAATTACCTCACTCACAGGTATTTTGTGGTAGATTATGTGTGTTTTGCGAATAAATGTAACCAAAAATGAACTGTATTGGTGCCACGGATACCTGTTAGTACACAATGCAGACAGCAGACTGTAGACCGGATACAAAATATAGACTGCAGACTGCAGAGTGGGTACAAAATGCAGACTAAGAATCTGAAGAGTTTTTACTTCTGGTATATAATAACATGTCATTTTACGGCTTACCGAGCGTCACGCAATCGCTTTTCTGCGATCCGCCTTCACGATTATTTGCACTATTGTGGAATATTCCTGGCCCATTTCTTAATGAAAATCGATCGCAATATTATTTCAATCCTTCAATATAGTCTTCTTACTTTGCGCGCGAGTTGGTTGGTGTGATGTCTGTACAGATTTTACAAACGTAATAAAAGTAGATGACGTAAATAACAGTAATGAACAGTGATGCTAAAGCAAGCTTAAAACGGCAGAAATCGCTAGAAAATACAACGGATACATAGGGTATGAGTAGGTTTTATTGATTTTACGAGAAAAATGTTATATTTCGAAATATGTATCGTTGTAAATCGACCATACTTCGTTCCCTATACTATTCCTTATAACGTCCAGTTCCTCTCGTAACTTAACACTGAGTCACACAACGCGTGACGCGTTCATGAATTAATCGTTGGCTTTTTCTCAAGACGTGAGCTTGGGCCGCCTTTGACAAGACAATTGCGTAAACAATATTTAACATAATAACATTATACACAAAAAAACACAGGGTTTTGGGTCACGTATTTATTAATAAAGAATATCCATTCAACTACAATGAAAACAAACATAAGATTCACCTTTCCGATCGTGAAATTAATACCATTCGTACTGTTATCTTAGCTACGTTCCTTGCCAACAAGTGAATCCAACATGTCGTCTTTCTTCACAAGCAGTTTGCATCCATTATAGTAATGTTCTTCAGTCTCACGGTAGTAGTGTTGTTCAATAGATTGCATAGAGTATGTGCAGTTTGGTTTCAGATTTCAGATTTTTCTATTTACAACAAGTGAACGTTTTTCAACTAAGACATTTGCATACTTAGCATACAAGGCATTCAAGGCTTTCATGGCTTTCAAGCGTTCGCGACTCAATCCGTTCCAAAATTATCGCTCAATAACATCTTTCAGTGTGGATTAGCCGCGATTAATACGACTTGTATATGCGACTGTAAGTATTTTGCGCGTTTGCGCCATAATGCTCCAGGAGATCGCAATCCAAATACGTTGAAATACAAAACAACTGACCAAAGAGTTTCATTAGTAAAACTCGTGATTTGTCATGTGACCCGGCCCTGTCTGTGCATGACAACGTCAATCATCATCAAGATAACACGCGTAATCAGCATGTGAATACCTCATTAGATCACAGTTAGTTGTCATGGTGTTGAGGGATAACACGCGTGATCATCATGTGAACACCTCATTGGATCACAGTTAGTTGTCAAAGCAACTGACCAAAGAGTTTTATTAGCAAAACTCGTGATTTGTCATGTGAACCGGCCCTGTCTGTGCATGACAACGTCAATCATCATCAAGATAACACGCGTAATCAGCATGTGAACACCTCATTGGATCACAGTTAGTTGTCATGGTGTTGAGGGATAACACGCGTGATCAGCATGTGAACACCTCATTGGATCACAGTTAGTTGTCATGGTGTTGAGGGCCCAATGACCTCTGAGTACTATTGCGCAATTTTTCCATTTTGTGGCGGAGGAAAAAAAAAAAAAAAGACGACAAAAAAACAAAGGCATTTTATGACTAGCTTACCACAGGTATCCCAGTAAAAAATTTGATCGGGTTATCTGTACTTTGAGACGGCACGTGAATTTCGGCATCCTTTGACCTCAACATATGAAATGAATGCTTATCCCAGTTTATCAGAAAGAATCCTCGGTGAGAACATTTATCTCTAAATTGCTCACGCGTTTGGTCTCTTCTGGGCGCTAAATAGGTGAACTGTAGAGGCGCACTATACAAAGACAACATCGATTATAAAAATCCTTTTGGAGGCTCTAAAGTAAGTTTAAAACCTGGGTAAGTTGTACTCCGACTCATTTTGTGATGACATGTCTCAAAAATTAATTTCGAAAAACCGAATAAGCATTTGATATTTCCTGACTGACTTGAATCAAAGGCCTTTAGAGAGAACCAAACTCAGTTAATTTGAACTAAGAGAATATTTGGTGGAAGGATTTTTAAGCACCGCTTTTCATATTAATAATATTTTTCACGTGTGGGCTTCATTAAGAACGGTCCATAATTGTGCGAGTCTTAATTTAATGTTTTCTTGTTTCAAGAGGGAGTAGTACCTAAGTAGGTATCTCGTAATCCAACTAAAATCAAAGACCTCTCGTACGAATCAAGCTCAGATAATTTTAATTAAGACAATACTTGGTGGAAGGATTTTCAAGCACCGCCATTCATATTAATGATATTTTTCACATGTGGTCTTCAATAAGAACGGTGTTTTTGGGGGCGAAACTGATGCAAGAGACTCCCCAAACATTGATGGCTCTCTGTAATCAGCCTCTAGTGCCTGTATGCCTGATAAAGAACGTTCATCGGTGAAAAGCAATTTCTTTTTCTCAAAGGGGAATGTTTGCATGACATCCTTAATAGAGCAGCTGCGAAGGTGACTAAAGAGACTGTTTGTTGTTAGATGATATGACTGAAATTGGAGAGATCTCTATAAGTTATCGGGTGAGAATGCTGACCCTTAATAGTGGCTCTTGGCCTAAAATAATTCTGCAATTTCTGGCTGCTAGCACGCAATAGCTGTTAGCATACTGTTAGTTGTTAAATGATGACTGAAATTGGAGAGTTCTCTGGAAATTATCAGGTGAGAATACCGACCCTCAATAGTGGCTCTTTGCCAAAAATAGTTACTCATTTTCTTGCTGTTGATACGCAACAGCTGTTAGCGCGCAATAGCTCATCAAAACGCAGGAATCGCTCGTTTCTTGGAAAAATCAGTTAGCTTGAAACCAGCAAGTAAGAGATTATGTGAGCATATGATGGTGAGACCTTGAAAGCTAGACGATCCAAATTTTCTCAATTTGCTAAGCTGTTTGTCTCTTCTTTCCTTATTCAGAAACGTCTCCTTTACCAATCTACAAAGTATAGCAGGATAATTACAGGTATTCCTTCCTTTAGTTCATGCTTTGTCTAGCATAAAGAGAGCTACTGTATGTTATTCATGTAACCAGGATATTCTGTGCTACAATAAGTTTAGAGTAAGTTTTGAAAATGCAGTGATGTTTTCGTTTTGAGCAAAAATCTGATAGAGAGATAATTTAGTTAAGAAAGAGATTGAGATCATCTGGAGTCAAAATTCAGTGCTGGTGTAAGGGCTTTCGCCTAAAACAGTCATAAATGCATGATTATTAAGACAAGAATTAAAGAATTGTTGTTTCTCACTCTTCAAGTGCAAACTGTTGGCAATAGATGCTCTGCCGATCTCATACGAGCGTGCGCCTTGCTATTTGGGTCTATTTGACTGCATGCCATTAGGAAATGATATTTGAATCATCAAACCATCATTTTGCCTTTTAAAGATTGCTTAAATTCGACTTGATTACTCAGCGAAACTTCTCGAAACCCCAACAATGTTGGAAAAAATTTGTTTCAGTGACTTGAATTGAAAAGTTGCTCTAAAGCAAGACTACGGATATGAATGGAACTTTTTTCATGGAAAATACTTCATTCCATTCTTTAGTTAATACCTCACGTGCAAGACTCAATTTCCTTTTCCGTCGTAAATTTGCCTTACAGACAAAAGGACTTGATTAATTCCAAGAAATCTTGAGCTTCATGTGTTTCTTAAAATCGACAAACTGTACAGTTATTTCGCTTTAGAGGAGTTTAGCAATACTAAAAAATGAGAAAGCTACCATATGCTATTCATATGACCAGGATATTCTGTGCTACAATTAGTTTAAAGTAAGTTTTGAAAATGCAGTGATGTTGTTTTGAGGAAAAATCTGATCGAGAGATCATTTTGCCATGAAAGAGCTTGAGATCATCCGAAGTCAAAATTTAATGCTGCTGTAAGGGCTTTCGCCTAATACAGTCATAAATGCATAATTATTAAGACAAGAATCAAAGAATTGTTGATTCTTCTTCTTCGACGTCAAACTGTCGGTAGTAGATGCTCTGCCGATCTCAAACGAGCGCGCCTTGCTATTTGGGTCTATTTGAATGGATGCCAGTAGGAAGGAATATTGGAATACCACAACCTCCTTTTGCCTTCTTCAGAATTCTTAAATTCGACCTGTTTACTGAAAGAAACTATTCGGAGACCTCATCTATTTTGCATAAGAATTGTTTAAGTGGCTTGTATTGAAAAGTTGCACTAAAGCAAGACTACGGATATGAGTGGACCTTCTTTTATGAATAATGCTTCATTCCATCCCTCAGGTAAAACCTCACGAGCAAGCTTCAATTTCCTTTTCCGTTGTAAATTTGCCTTGCAGATAAAAGGACTTGATTAGTTTACTAGAAATCTTGAACTTAATATTTTTCTTAAAATCGAGAAACTGCAGAATTATTTCCCTTTAGAGGAGTTAAGCATTCCTAAAAAATGGAATCGGCCTACAGTTTGTTAATCTGATAGAGAGATCATTTTGTTATGAAAGAGGTTGAGATCATCCGAAGTCAAAATTCAGTACTGCTTTAGGGGCTTTTGCTTAATACAGTTATAAATGCATGATTATTAAGACGAGAATTGAAAAAGAATTGTTGATTTACTCTTTGAAGTCAAACTGTTGGCAGTAGATGCTCTGCCGATCTCATAAAAGTGTGCCTTGCTACTGATTTAGGTCTATGTGACTGCATGCAATTGGGACATGATATCTGAAGATCAAACCCCCATTTTGCCTTCTTCAGAACTCTTAAATTTGACCTATTTACTGAACGAAACGAATCGAGACCTCAACAATTTTGCAGAAAAATTGTTGAAGTGGCTGGTATGGAAAAGTTGCTCTAAAGCAAGACTACGGAAATTAATGGACTAGTTCTTTTATGGAAAATGCTTCATTACACTCGTCAGTTAAAACCTCACGAGCAAGCTTCAATTTCCTTTTCCGTCGCAAATAATGCACTTGATTAATTACTAGAATTCTTAGAGCCTAGTATGTTCCTTAAAATCGAGAAACTGCACAATTATCTCGCTTTAGAGGAGTTAAAAAATAAGTTAGCCCGAAACTAGCAAGGAAAAGATTATGTAAGCATATGATGGCGAGACCTAGAAAACTAGTCGATATCTATATATTGTGAGTAGTAATTCTATAGAAGGCGAAGCTACACATGTTGTCGAGATGAAAGGGTGAGTGTAAAATTAAACCCAGTCCCGCAGTGACTAAATGGCAACCGGGCACAGTCTCAAATAGACTAAATGCCTGGCATTCAAAAATTTTTACGCAATTTCCGCCGAAAGGTTCTTTCAAACTTCTCAAGAATATCAAATGTTTATTAAGGAGCTTGTACATATTATAATATCGCTCGGTTGTCGACAACTTGGAAATTCTACGCTTCTGATCAGACTGCCGGGCACGGTCTTAAATGGACTAAATGCCCTGCAGTTAGAAATATTCACCAAAGGGCCACTGAAAAGTTTCTTCAAACTTCTTTAGGAGCATCAGATGTTTGTTGAGAAATGTAAGGCGATCCTAAAAATTAATTTTTTTTAGTGGGTGAATTCTCCGAGCTTGTGCATACTACAGTATCGCTCGGTTGTCGACACTGAAATTCTACCCATCTGACCAGACTGCCGGGCACGGTCTCAAATGGACTAAATGCCCGGTAGTCAAAAATTTTCATCAAAATGTCTCGAGAAAGGGACTTGCAATACAACAAGAAAATTACTTATAATGAATGGGCGATATAAAGAGAAGCACAGGTAATCATTGTTGGAGTCCAGAGGATTCGGGAACCATGAGGCTCTCGAGCTAGCCCCTCGAAAAAATTTCAAAAAAACTCAGTTTTTTTCGGGCCCTAAGGTCTTCTTATTTTGCCTCATAATTGTCTGATAAGCTGTTAACGAGTTGGTGGGTGAGGATATAGAAAACTTACAAATCTCTCACATCTCTCGTAATTTTGTATTAGTCAGCCTTGAAATACTCTTGAAATAATATCCAATAGCGATTAATTCTTACCTTCAGCAAGCTCTACTGAGAGTGCTGACACATCGTATTGAAATAGTAAATAAGAAATGGAATTTGCGAGTACGGTTCAGCCCTACGAAGGACAACCGCGCTCAACGAACGAAGATTTCGACAAAGACTGACAAACACGGTTTTTCGCCTGCGGTTTTTAGGTCAAACAGAAAAAATACTCCCTTTACTGAATGTTTTGTTCGTAGCGTTTGCGTTTTGTTTTCTGTGGCGAAATCTATGCAAAGAATGGGTAGCTGTATTCGTTTCTGTTGACATAACATATTCATTCGCACTAAGGAGCGGCGAAGGTTCCCCTTGATAAGTGCTCTAGAATTTCGTCGCTGTAGAAGCTGTAGAGTAATTCCCTTTGCAAACTAAAAGCTAACTTTTGACGGCAGCATCGCAAGAATCAGCTGTATCAGGGGACACAATGATTTTTCGCCGAGAAGTCATCGGGCAGTTCTACTGCGTGTTGCTCTTTTCTCAGAGATTGCAAATGCAGAGGCTATCGCCGTCGGGCCGGCCAAACGGGAAACGAGTGAGTTTACTGTCAACTGAATCCAGTTTATCTCAAATAGGGCTTTTGATAGAGAAAAACTTTAGTTTAAGTGCAGCATTGCCACGTGACCCATGTCGCTCTCTGGCAAATAACTGACATCAGCGTTGCAAATGAATATTTCGTATATATGCATCGACTTTCACACAGTGCACAGATTCGCTACCATCTAATTCGATAATAATTGTGTTTCGCTATTAATATCACTGCAGTGGTGTTATCGCGAAGACATTGCTATTGTTGCTCCTCTTGGTTTCTCGAGGGCAGGGGGGAATTAATGGCTCGTGAGGTGGATTTCCGGAAACCTAGGTTAGGAGAATACATAGGGCCTTCGAGCTTGTGTTTATGCCAGTATCCGCCAGGACTGCACTGTTTGCACTGTTCGCACTGTTCAGGAGCTCGGTCAGCCCAGAAAAGGGCTTGACCTTTACTACAAATGATTTATTTCTGTTATCAAAATACGATGGATACTACAATTGGTAGGACTTCATACAAAGGGAAAAGCGCGAATGTGGTCATGTGGAAAGCCAAAGATTATAAGTACATCTCAAACGCTTGCCAAATGTCAGCCCAACAGAATGAGGAACAATCGTATCCGGTTTGGGAACAGGCCACTGAATTAGCATTCTGTTTAGTTGAATTTGTTGGCCATCTTCCACCGGTTTGTCCAGTTATGTGTGTTCGAAGTCTTCAGACTCGGGACGGAGGAAAAGGCCGACGACTTTGAAAAGTAAAATTTCCTCGATGTTCACGATCGAAACGTGTCCATTTTGGCCATACAACTACATCCTTTGGAAAGTAGTGTATAGAAACACCCGTTGTTTTTGTGTTATTACTGTACATAACATCATTTTGCGCTCCGGGCACGCAATACGTTTGTCCTTTCTCCTTGATTTCTCCTTCCTTCACCATAGTAGCGGACGTGTCTTTACAGTGTTCCGAGGAGAACTCGCCAAGCGCTAAGTTTGATCATTGCAGATATTATATAGAGGATATTACATGGCCGTGCGGGGAAACGAATTTTATCTTCGAGTGCTGAAAGTATCTCTCACGAGTGAAAGATACTTTCAGCAAAAGAACCGGCCATGCGCCTGAGCGGGAAGCTCTCTTGTAATTGGCTAATCATGTTAGTAATCATGGCGACACCAATATCCTCACACGTGAAAGATAGTTTGCTAAGCTGTTTGTCTCTTCTTTCCTTATACAGAAAACGTCCCATTACCAATCCATAAAGAAAAGCCGAACAAAAACAGGTATTCCTTCCTCTTTCTCAAGCGTTGCCTAACATGAAGAGAGCTACAGTATGTTAATCATGTAATCAGGATATCCCGTGCCGAAATTAGTGTATAAGCTTTTAAAATGCAATGATGTTTTTGTTTTGAGCAAATATTTGACCCCAGAGGTCATTTTGCGTAGGAGCTTGAGATCATCTACCACAAAATTCAGTGCTGCTGTACGGTCCTTTCCCCTTCTGAATGCAGCTATAACTGTTTAATTTTTAATTGGAGAGTTGTTAATTCTTGCTCTTGGAAGTCAAGCTACCGGTAAAAGATTCCCTGCCGATCTCACACGAGCGTACCTGTGTGAGTGGACGCGATTAGGTAATGATATTCGAAAATCAAAGTCGGTGCATGTTACCTTCTTCAGAATTCTTTGATTCTACCTGTTTACTGAACGCAACGAATCGAAAACTTTTAAAATTTCGTGTGTGTGTAGCAATGAAAAGTTCCTCTAAAGCTTAACTATGGTCATGAATGGACCTTCTCTTAAAGATACTGTATCATTTTATTCCTGGATTAAAACATCAAAGGCAAACTCCAGTGGACATAATGACTTGACTGATTCCTAAAAATGTCGACCTCAGCAAACAGCAAATTATTTTTCTCTAGAGGGGTTAGCATTCCTAGATGGATTTGGCTTACAGTTCGTCTCTAACTTTTTTTTTTCCTTCCTGCTGGCTAAGGAAATTAGCTTGTTGTCAGGGTTTCAACTGATATTTGGTAGCATCATTGTCATATGCAAAATGTTCAGAGATATGTTTGCACGTCTCACCTGATATGCCCGAACGGGTCACTTGGTCACCACCAGCTTTCATGGCAAAGTACAAAAAATTTAAAGTAAATTTAAAGAAGGACGAATATTTTCCAATCTCTGCTGGATTGCGTACTTATGGACGGGCCGAGTTTGAAGTCGAAAAAAAAAAAAAAAAAAAAAAAACGCTGGGAAAGAGCTAAGCTATCATACACTGAAGGATTTATTATACAACCAAAATTTTACGCAATTTTGAGAGAAAAATTAAAAGCGTAAATCTAGCTCACAGGGTCAGCCTTAAAGCAATTTGATTGAATTTTGTTAAAAAGAAGCATGCAAGGAGGTATTTTGGAAGGTAACTTTGTCCAGGGTTCAAAAGAGTAACCGAAGGCATTTGGGCATTTTCTTTAAGCTTGCCAATTATCAAACGATTACAGGAAGCTTTGCAAACAGTTATACATGTGAAGATATCGTTCGTGAAGAAAAGCAGGAATAAGATAATTTTCTGAGTGTGATACGTATTCAGTTTACTCTAGGAAATAGATCGGGAAATAGATAGTCACTAGCTATGAAGTCGGCCTTTACAGTCGAAATTCCTTACATTTATCGAGCTATATTCATAACAGATTTAATTCGTGTTCAAATAAGTGTATTATATGTATTTTGTAGTTTTTTAATTTCATTGATGCATTATCTCATAAACTTGGACAGAAGGCCATTGGATTGTTCGCAACGGTCTTAGTAAATTTTATTGCGCTGCCCTCATTAAATTTGCATGAAAGGTAATGTATCACTCAAATAAGGCAACACTAAAAGTGATGATCAGCCTGATCGAGAGAGCCACTTGCTCAGGATCACAGGATTCGAATTCTTGATTCTTACCAAACGGATCATTTTTATGAAGGCTGACGAAGATGTCTCCTTTAAACTCTTAGTTTGGACGATTTAGAATGGATCGAACGACCATATTTGTGTGGTCAGTAGTAAAGCCCTCGCCGGAAAAACAATTTTTGACAATTTTAAATTTCTGTGAAATAGCTGATGCAAAGGATTCCGAGGAAAAAAATCTCCTTTGATTGGATAAAATAAAGCTAAAAGACTACAAAAGCTTTATTCAAGGGTATTAACGTGCGAGCTTTTTCTTCCTTCGTTGTTATTTTGTCGACACTTTTAGGTTCTTGTAGAATAATTCTTACGTGCCCGTTCAGTCGTTAAGTTTTTAAAAATATGTTACGTTGTTACTGACCCTAAGTACAAGAATAAGATTCCTCTCTAAAAGCTTAAAAGGATCATGAGCCATATAGTGTAAATGCTACATATTTCACGCCACAACATGAATGCACGTTTAATCTAACTCCCAGACAGACAAATATTTAGATGTAAAGGTGCATAGATGTGTAAATGTGATTCGACTGAAAATAAATAATTAATACAAATATCTAAGTACACATATAACAACTACAAGAATAACGACAAAGCTACATTAAATAGAAGCGAACCTACAATTTGTGGCGTAACCAGGTGAGGCAGTAAAAACTCTTAAACAAAGAGAACACGGCGCTCGAAAAAACTAACTAAACGACTGACTTAGTTGAAATCAACTGGCAATGAAAATTATCTAACGAAAACAACGCTTATACTGGCGAAAAATAAAACGCTACCGGCGTTACATAATTCCTATGCATCCTTACGCAAAAACGTGAACTTTATTGAATGGAAACATAACATACGCCAGTAGTTCAAATGAAAGAAAAACATTATAGAATAATTTCGCATTACTTGACGATAAACGATAAAGTGGGAGTAAGAAATAAACTTATATTGAAAAGTTTGCAATCGGTTCAGCTAAGATTATATTTATTTATTGAAATGGTTAAGTTCAGATAAATATGTCAAGTAACCGAAGACAGCTTTTTTAGCCAATTATCAATCAACCAATCAATCAATCAATTTATTTAACGTGGTCAGAACGCTTAGCTAAAAACTAGTTTACAGGTACGCCACGAAATAAAAAGAGAAAAGGAAATTATAAAGCCTTGTGAAGGTATATAAATTTAAATAAGTTAAGATTAAGAACTAACTAATATTAAAATATAAAAATTTAACAATGTAGTCACCAAGTAAAATTTATAAAATGTAATCATTAAAAAAACAGTAAATATAATCAATGATAGATCCTCACCGCACTTGAGATCTAATGTTTTTAAGTAATTTTTAAAAGTAGTAAATGTTTGTATCTTTCGAGACTCGTCCGGTAAAGCGTTCCATAATTTCGATGCAGCATATCTCCATGATCTTAACCCGAAGGTTGTTGATTTTACTTTTGGGAGGTCCAGTATTGTGGTGCCCCTAAGGTTATAAGTGGAGCACCTTACTGTTATAAGATCACGTAAGCTTTTTGGACCTGCATCACTGGCTAATATCTTAAAGAAAGTGGACAATATTTTCGCTAATCGCTGTTCATGAAGACTTGAGAGACCGATACGCTTACAAAGTTCCTCATAAGGCGAGGACTTATCTCTAAAAACAAAACGGAGCGCACGTTTGTTCACCAACTCTAACTTGTCAGCTGACTTTTTATTACAGAAGTGCCACGTTTCGGAGCAGTAATTAAAGTGTGGTAAAATGAAAGCTTTATAAAGATCCCTTCTAGTCTCAAAAGACAACATTTTCTGCATCCTTTTTAATACGGCGACTTTTTGACTGACTTTTCTACATATTTTAGTAATGTGCTTTTCAAAATTTAATTTATCATCGATTGTCACGCCAAGAAGTTCCATTGTGTTGGATATGGGAAGTCGTGACTCCTCACACTTAAACACTGGTTCATCAGTTCCTTTGTGTTTTCCCAACACCATAGCCTGGTATTTTGAACTGTTCCTCTTCATACCATTACGCGCAAACCATACATCAGCACTAATAAGATCATTGTTGATTGTTTTTTCAACTTTGGAGAGTTGATTGTCGGCGTAAAAGATTTGAGTGTCATCAGCGTAAGTGGACAGAGTGCACTTCTTGATGACATATTGAAGATCGTTCATGGAGATGTTGAACAATAAAGGGCCGAGGATGGATCCCTGTGGTACACCATTGCATATAGGTTGCCACTTGGAAAGCGTATCCCCCAGTCTCACCCTTTGGAATCGATTTGATAAATAATCTTTTATCAGGGAGGTTGTTGCTTCATCTGCTCCATATTCTTTTAATTTCAAAACAGTCAGTTCATGAGGTAAGGTGTCGAAAGTCTTGGACAAGTCCATAGAGACCAGACCGATCAATTTATTGTTATCAATTTCTTTTTTCCATTGTTCGGTTAGACTAAGAAGTGCTGAGTCGCAGCCGTGATATTTCCTATAAGCAAACACATATTTGTGATAAATTTCTTCAAAATACGGGCTTATTCGGCAATGAACAATTTTTTCGAAAATCTTCGATAAAGCTGGCAGAATCGTTATCGGCCGATAGTTAGTTTTTAATAGGCTGCAGTCTTTTTTGAGAATTGGAGTGACCTCGCCAAGTTTCCACTGTTGTGGTATTTTAGTTGAAGTTAAAACATGATTAATCAGTGTACTAAGAGGGAAGCATAAGACATCCATCGATTCTTTAACTGCTAGTGGAGGGATCCCATCACATCCAGAAGCCTTGTTTGGAGCAAGTTTCCTCATTACCTCGTAAACTTCTGTTGGATTAGTGTTGCTTAGCGACACATTCGGCCTGCTTATTAAGTTATTTGATATGTGCGATAGATCTACTAGATAGCTGTTTTGATTTTGTTCTTTGGTACTTTGAGTACGGCTTGTGAAGAAATTATTTAATGCCTCGGTCACCTCTTGACGATTCCTGATGATTTTGTCACCCTCCTTTAATGTTATTCCGCTATTGTCTACATTCTTCCGGGAATTAACACAAGGCTTGATGGCACGCCAAAACTTCTTTTGATCTGCATATTTTTCCGAACACAGCTTCTCAAAATGTCTACGTATAGATTTTCTTCTCATGCTAACTACTTTGTTGCGCACTAGACGGTAGCTCTCCCAATCACACTGATTACGTGATCTATTAAATTTTTTTTTAAGCCGTTTTCGTTCCACCATTTCTCTCCGAATTTCAGGAGTGATAAACTTCGATTCTACTGAAGATCGTCGTTTGAAAGATCGCATAACGTCTCCCAGCACCAGTAAACATCGTCTATATCATCAAAAACGTATGCAGCATGAAAAGGAAGTCGACTGAGATCTTTCTGAAAATCATCTCGGTTAAAGGTCTTGAATATCCGTTTCTTGACGACTTCGGCATTAGCATGTAACATTTTAGTTTTGAGAACCGTGTAGCAGATGATCACTGATTCCTGTTTCGATAGCGCCAGACGATTTCATAAACATGGGCACATTTGAAAGAATAACATCCAGGCAAGAAGCTCTAGTTGTTGAAATTCTTGGTCGAGGTCATAGAGGTCGAGGTCATAGATATCGCAAATATCCAAAAGGCATTTGCCCTGGTTATTATTCATAAACAGATGAATTCTGTTACAATTTAGATCACCAAGACGAATCACGTTTACGCAGAGAGATATCGCTTGATCCAGGACTGTAGTCAATTCAGTTCTGAAAGTAGCATTGTTAACAGAAGGAGGCTTGTAGGCACTGACTAAAGCAAAGCGTCTTTTTCCGATGTGTAGATCGAATAAGAGTGATTCCACTGATGTTGTAATGCCTTTCTTACATGTTACGGCGATGTTTTCGCGAATAAAGACGGCAAGACCGCCACCACCTTTCGTCCTGTCACGGCGAAATAACTTGTACCCGTCAACATAAAATTGAGAGTTAGGAAAGGATCGATCGATCTTAGTTTCCTGTATGGATGTATGTCGAAGGCTCTGTTCGTTAGCCACTCCTTGATCTCCTCAAATTTGCTTGGTAAACTGTTTACATTTAGGTTTGCTATAATGCATTCCTTGCGATTTTCGTTTCTAATTAACTTCATGTCCGAAGGTTGTGAACTAAGGTCCAGCTCAGTGTCGCTCGCGCTTTCATGCGTGGAACTATTCAAGGTGGAAAAGAATGAATCGCTAAACTTCGACAAGGCACAGAAAGAGCATATCCAGTCGACAGATGGATTGTTAAGATAGTACTGAAAGGTCCAGTTCGACATATTCAGACATCTTGCATGCGACCAGATGTTACACTCAGAACATAAAATGGCGTCTTGATTGCTTCTTACGGATTTAGAACATTCACCACAAGGATATTTCGTAGGCTTCCTTCTCGGACCAGGGTTAGGTGAAACATCTCCAGAAATCAACAATCTTTGCGCTTGAAATGTACCTACACCAGTAGCAGTGTATAATAATCTTCCTCGATTAACACGCCTCGATGCGAGCTTGAAAGGTAGTTTATAGTAAGCACTTGACGTTGTTAAGTGGAGTGAAATAACCAGTCGCGTACAGCGTTCGGGATGCATAAAACTGCAGTTTGATGACTCACGAAATTCTCGTAGAAGTACGACAAGGAATAAAAGACACAATAATGTGCCGCCCATACGGACGTGTCTGACCGCCATGATGGCCTGGTTGTGAAATTGAAGCCTTAAACTAGAATGTTCCATGGAAAGATCTGATGGGCTTGTGTCTTGTAAAAATAATTCGAAACTTTCACACCGAGTCATGTATTAGTGCCTTGTTCATAAATTAATGAATAATCCACAAACAGAGCAGCCCTGGAAATGAAATGCCAACTGAAGTATTTTGTAACGCTGTGCTTGTCAGCCGATCAATACTGGAATATTTCTTCAGTAATAAATTGTGGACATTTGAGCAGTTCAGGTATTGATTTGAACGTTCCCTATTTTATGTTGTGAAAAAAGAATTCAGTAGCCACCTTGAATTAGTTTGTCAAAAAAAGATAATTCTGTCAATGCCTATAAGCTCCCTTTCGTTGGTTATTCAGATTGTTTCCTTTCTCACTATTTTAGAAAACGTTCTACATCTGCCTTGTTCTCTTGAGAACCCTTATTATAACTCTTCTCTGGTCTATGCTCATTTTGGCGCGAAAGCGTGGGTGACGCATTTCCGCTCCAGATCCCGAGAAAACTAATTACACCGAAGCGCACCTTGTGCTTGAAATGGAAGACATCATGAGCCATGATTTGGCAGGAATATTGACATTCACGACCGTTCGACAGCGTCTGGGGATTAGCAGAGAATAGCTTAATCAATCTCTAAAACGCTTTGCCCACTGGATATAAAACTGAAGCAGTTTTTTCCCTCTCTCCTGGTCCAGAAAGCAGCCATCTTTGCTGTTAGGCCAAATATCGTGTTGCTCTATTGAAATTCCTCACGCCCTGAAGGTTAGCTCAAACGAGACAAAACTGTTTTCACTCCGACATAGCTCATACCATTCTGCTCCTCAGAATAGGAAAAAACCCCTAAATGCGTTGTGAGTCATTAGCCGAACTGTTTAAACGACTGGCAAGGATGCGAAAAGTTGAAACAACTTTGGAAATCGAGACCCTCTTATGATTTAGATATTTTCTTTCTTTGTTTGGTAAATAAACTTTTTAACAGATGACGATTTTAAATTCGTCATCTGTTAAAAAGTTTATCGATGCCTCAGAATTCGTGTTTTGTTTAACCTTTATTCTAATGCAGGCTTGATGATCGAAGTTACAAATTAAGCAGACCAAGAAAATTAATTTCGCGATTGTCTGAGCGGGAGTATCTTACGGACCTCCTTTAAATAAACCTTGAAAGACGATGAAAAAACACCTAAAATTGCTATACATGCGTTGTGAGTCATTAGCCGAACTGTTTTAATCGACTGGCAAGGATGCGAAAAGTTGAAACAACTTTGGAAATCGAGACCCTTTTATGATTTAGATATTTTTTTTCTTTGTTTGGTAAATAAACTCCATACAGTTTAAAAAGCTATAAAAAGCTAGTCGACGACGTTTCAACGTTATGGTAAGGTCATCATAAAGTCAAAAAATTACAAATTATCAGGCTATAAATAGTAAAAACAACAATAGGCACTATTGACAACGTTTAAAAAATAAATAACTTAAAGATAAACAAGTTTTTTTTCTAATGTACTATATTAGTTGTAGAACTATTTTATCGCAATCTTCTCTAGCGAAATGTTTTCTATCACGCTTCCTCTTCGTTTACTCAATTATTTACCACGATCTTCAACTGCTATTGCCGCAGTCTCGCGGTCGTCTAAAACATGAAAATAGCTGAATTACCATCGTCAAGCTCTCCAGCGCTAATTTCTATAAATATTTTCCCACATTTTTACTACTCCTGATGAAAACAAAAGCGAGCGAGGAGTGCGGTCATTCACGTACACTCCGCTTGGGGCGCAAAAACATATAAAGATCGTTTTGTTCCACAATATTTCCTTTACCGTGTCATCCACGTGTAGGTCCTAACACTTTAACAAAATGAAAGAAAATGCCTAAGGTGACGGGGTTCACACTCTTTTAACTTGTCCCCGAAAACAGGCGATGGCGACTGCAGGATCAGCTGTATCGAGCGGAGAAAGGAAGTGGGAGGAATTTAGACAAACAGCAGAGAAAGTTAAAAGGGAATTGGTCAACAAAGTTCAGTGCTTAACTAAAGCATTGAAAGAGGGTGAAGAGGTATGTGATGAGTACTTTAAGAAGTACGGCAGTGAACATCTTCTTACATCAGACACAACTAAGCAGCCGCAGAATGACTTAAAGCAAATGGTAGACGCCTTGGAAGAAAACCTACAAACGGCAGTATCTGATGATGTAACCATTGTATTTGTGGGACGTACAAGCAGTGGAAAATCATCCTTGATAAACGCCTTACTTCGAGACGATCGTCTTCCAACTGGATCATATACATCAACGATGTGCATCTTTAAAGTTCGTCCTACTCATGATAAACTTTGGAGCGTTATTGACACAGGTAATGGAACCATACTATCCAAAGGAAGGGACAAAGAACAAGTAAAGAAATATTTAGATGCACTGGTTGATAAGGACAGCAAGAAAAAGAGGGAAAAGGAAAATATCAGCTGTGACAGTGTCATACAAGTAAATTGGCCTCGTGACCTCTGCAATCTACCAGAAGATATCGTCTTGGTAGATACACCCGGTTTAGAGGAGAGTGTCGAAACCAGCAAAGCTACCGCTAACATCCGCACGAAGGCAGATCTAATTGTGGGTGTGATGAATTTAGAGTCACCTTCCGTTGAAAATGTAAGTACTGTATACACGGTTCAGAACTTAGATGGGATAGCATAATAGTCTTTTGGTACGGGGGCGGTTAAAACTGATTATTGTGCGTTGCTTATTGACCTTACATCGATCATTTTGATTGTTTTTGGAATTCGTTTGGAGAGATGAAAAGAGGTGGATACATCGAGAGACTGCTTGAGTTTTTAAATCGCTAAAACTATTAGTGTATCTTTTTGGATCTTTTTATTATCTTCAGGCAATGAACTTTAAAGGAATAAGAACAGAGGTGTTTTCTAAGCCACTAGCGATTCTAGTCCATCAAAAGCTTGGCTAAAGTAAAGGCAGAACATATGAGCTGGAGATTTTTTTCGCTGTTTAATTGATAGCGCTCTCGGCTCGATCTACCAAAATTTATAATAAAGTTAGGATGTAACGCGCGCTGTCATTGGTTGAAAGAGCGTGCTCTATGAGAGTATAGAGCATAGAGCTGAGCTAAAGCTGTCACGTCATCTGCCAATTGTACTGTGTTCGAGCTTTTCCGGGACTTCTTTTTAGCTTTTTTCCGATAATTGAAAGTGAAATTTCGGAACTGAAGCGAGCTGGCAAGTAGCAACAGAAGAATCAAACAAAGGTTTGTAAACATACCAGGCGCCGTAATTTACGTTATTAAAACGTGAGTAGCTACGAAAATCCTCAAAGGAAAAACAAAATAAACATTCTGAGTTTTAAAGATTTCCACGCTCAGTTAGATTGCAAGCTTACGTACGGTAATAAAAATCAAACATAGCTAACACTCGTATAGTATCTAAAGTTCAGTGAAATGATGAAAAATATAACCAAATTGGCATAATTGTTAAAATTCATACTAATCATGACGGTGTCTGAGCGAATATGATCATACTGAAGTTCATCGCGGCTCTTTCATCATGGTGATCTCCGGTCGTCACAGTAAAGCAAGCCTCAGAAACTACATAGGCCGCCCTTCAAGTAAAAAAAAAAAGAGCTTGCTCTGATATCCTTTCCGATACGTTGAGTGGAAAGTCACATCAATCACTGCAGCAGAGTTTTGCGGCGCTGTCATCACGAGCGATCTTCATGTTCTGCTAAATTCGGCTGTTTTTCATTCAAAAAACACTCGCCTTGAACAGTTAGTTTTCTACCTTGTCATGTGAAAAAACTCGCGCGTTTTTATGAGCTATAATTCGGCTGAAGTTCACTGAACATTTCGCTTAAAGATTCTGTATTAGAGACTAAAAATTCAGGCAAAAGTGTTAAGTTCGACTTGCCGAACTATTTTAGTTTGTGAACAATCGTAGAATGTGAATTTTGATGGTTTTTGAACTTTGATGGTTTAACACTTTTGACAGCTTTAGTCTTGTACAGCCAATCAGATTATTTGAACCATTCTAATACTAATCTAATAATACTCTTTATGAGAGTATAGAACATGCTGACGACACTGTTGTTCGCTTTGGAAACAAAGTTGTTTGGAAAATTGAAAGTAATGCTTGAGGAATTTTAACGGATCCTTTATTATAAAACAAATAGAGAAGCCTTGACTGTGCTCTGTTCTGTTATAAAGCACTCAAGAAGTGGGAAGAAACACTCGACTACGTCTCGTGTTTCTCCCTACACTTCTTTCGTGCTCTAGCCTCTTCCTGCGTGCTTTATAACAGAACAGAGCACAGTCAAGGCTTCTCTATTTGTTAAATAATACCAAAAAAACACAAACAAGCAAAACAATAAAAGGAGTTGTTCGTTACATCATTTTATTTCGCTTTGAAGATAAAAGACGTGCTAAACGAGAAAGAATTCCAGTTCAAGTTTGGCGTCTTTACAAGATGGGATCAAGACATTCCAGAAACCGATAAACCGAAGCGGCAACAAGCACGTGAACAGCACAAAGAGGAATTCGAAACATCAGTGAAAGGCGAGAAAGGAGTTTATTTCGTTGAAGCAAAGAATGCCACAGTAGCAATGGTAAGTTTTTTATTTGTTTATTCTAGCAATCTAATCGGAGCAACCTGCAATCGGAGAATAAGGCAAATCGAGATACTGGAGGTGGCAGACGGCTACAACTTGTAAAATCAAATTGAAGAAGGAGATGCCCTCAAAGAGGTGAAGGAATTCTGCATAGACAACAACTGCCAACGATTACATTAACTAATGTTAATTTAAGCATAACTTAGACACAACGCGCGCTCTGATTGGTCAAAAATCTCTTGTATATTTGTAGTAGATATATTTACACCCGTTTTCAAAAACGTTGCGCACTGAAAATTTATACTACATTTATATGCTTCTCTTTTTTCTCATCAAAAAGTCTCCTTTTGACAAGAAGAGAAAAAGTATATAGTGCTTGATTACAACCCTGCCCTCCTTACACATGATAAGTTCGCTGTCAGAGCTATTAGGAAATTTTCCGCCAAAAATCAATTTTTCCTGTATATCAGAGGACCAAAAACCTCAAATGGCGAAAATACATAGCTTCGTCATGAATGGCAAGGTGTTTTGTCTTAACTTAATTAGCTACTATAGGAAATACGGTTCTTGGATCTAAACTCCCGCCTTCGGTTAAGGCCAAGAGGGTAAAGCATAAACAATTGGGCAGTGCGATGCGCCTTCCTCGCTAGAAGTAATCGATCAATATGACCGGCGTCCTCCTGGCTAGTGATTTTTTTAGGAAGGGTGTCAATTGGGTGATGGCTATTAGGGCTGACAGTTAAGAATTGGCCATTGGCTAACGGTCATATCATTCCATTTTTGTCACCTGGATTTTTTTTACGCTTAACCTTCTTAGGTCTATCGGTTACAATTTGTAGATTTCTACTCCTAACAGCTAATTTTTTTTCCGTTTTACGGCTATCGATTAATCCCATTGAGTAAACAATGACGCTGATTTGGGAAATGTCATGTTCAAGACGGATGGACGCTAGGTCATTTATTTTCTTGTTATCGGTGGCAAGTGGTTAAGAAAACGGACTTTAAACTCCGTTGCCGTAAAACCCACGTATTTGTAACTAATTAATTGCACCAGGCCATTCAAATAACATACGAGCATTGTTAATCTATGATTGAACTTATACATACGGCCAGTGCAAAAACAAAGTCTTGGATCCAAAAATTCTCGCGTAAATCGCATATCGTAGAGTATTTTAAAAATATTCTCGATATTACGAAAACTGCGTTACTTTCTTATAACTGTCTTTGTAGGAGACGGCAGAAAGAAATTTAGGAAGGGAGGAGTTTCTAAGGTTTGAGAGAGATCTGGCGGAGAAAGCAAAATCTGTTAAAGCACGAAAAGGTATTGTTCTCATAGAGCAAGCTAAACATGTCGCTTCAAAATACGCCGAAGACTTCGAAAAATCTAAACGCGTCATTGATGATAACCAAAAAGAGAGAGAAGACCGTCTGAAAATTCTGGAGAACAAAATCAGCACCATGGAGAAAGATCACGATTCCCTTGATACAGTGCGCCAGGAAGTGAAACATCTTGATAAACTGATACGTGACCTTCTCTCTGATGAAAAGATTGATCGGTTGATAAAAGAACTAGGCGAAAAGATCAATGATTGTGACAGCGAGGAAAGTGAAAATCTGGTTGTTAGCAATTTTTTTGGAACTAACAACTGTGTAATCAGTGCAACTTTACAACAACAAATTCTAAAGGTAAACGTCGAGTATCAGGTGTGGAAAAAGGCTCTAGGAGACGATTATGGATGTTCACAACGTACCCCACCATCCTATGAAGTTAAACAGTTGGAAAAAACTGAAGATTACGGCTACAACAGTAGCGAAGATCCTCACGCCTATGTTACAAGCAACAACCTATGGGCGGTCATGCTTGGTCTTGCAACTGCCACAGCGGCTGCCGCAGCGGTAACCGCCGCGACTGTAGCAGGACCAACAGCAGGTGTAGGTGCTGGTAAGTGATACTATAAGTTACTGCGCTTAGGTATCTTAAATACCGTCAAACTCTCATTATAAATACCTCACCATACTTCCACAGGGCATCGCTTGCTATCTGAACGCTTACTGTTGCTTTAGTTCAATGCCGAATATTTCCAAACTCCTGGGACAACTGCACGCCCACGTGATCAACATGACAAACGCACTCTATTGTCATGGTTTCATTTCACCATTAAGATGAAATATTCGCGTCCGCCCTTTGTGGGTTTTAAAACGGCGAGCCGAACCCTCAACCCCCCTACAAGAACAACCTGAACCACCATTGCCACAACCATGACCACCACTACCACAAGCAGCACCACAACTACCACCACCACTACCACAACATCCACTACCAGCACCATAGCAACAACCACAACTATCACCACCACCACCACCACCACTACCACTACCAGAGTTACCAGCTCACCACTACCACTACCACTACCAGGACCACCACCGCTACCAACACCATCACTTCCAGCACTTCCACTACCACGCCTTCCACAAAAACCAGTGCCAAAACCAGCACCAACACAGCACCACCATAACTACCACAATAGCCATAACAACCACCACTACCTCTTGTACCACTACTTTTATTATTAATACCATTACTACTTCTGATAATGATTCTAGCGACAAAAAATATAAAATTATCGTTTAAAATATTATTATCATTCTTACCATTATTATCATAAAAAGATCAAACGATTTCTAATGGAGTAAAATACATAATCTGAAATTTTAGGAATTAAAAGAAATATAAAAACAATCTCTCCCAAACGTTCTCGATAAAATATTTGATACCAAGTGGAGACGAACGAGATCGGACTGACTCCTGTACCATTAAATCTAAAAGTATTTAGGACTTCCTTTGCGTCACGAAATATCATTCTAGAGCCTCTTACACTCATATGAACAGATCTCAAATCTCAAATGATGAAAGTTCTTAGCCATGGATATCTTCTGCACAGGTCTCCACGTCCAACATGCGTTAGTGATATTACCCCTTCTTCTCGTTCTCTGCCGTTGGCTTTTCTGGTTACTCTTTCAGTTAACATGTGTTACACATGCATACATCAATTGATGCTATAGCATCTAATATGACTATACAATCAGCCAGCATTTTTGATCAATTAACCAGTTTACCAACTTCTTTCCCTATTCAAGTGCTTATACCAGCTTTAAAGCTCCCAAGCCATACTAATTTGACACCTGGAGTATACTTTCTCAAGGTCTGGTTCACGATGAGGATGATAATATCCAGGCTAGGATAGTGACGATAGTACTAAAGATGCAATAGTATTCCTTGGCCACTGTATATGATCGCGAACAAAAGAAGAATATTGTTTTATGAAAAGACCACATGTATCGTGCTCCCTTTACAGGCTTTGGATATTTGGGAAATGTTTATTTGGGATAATTTATGGGTGCATTGTTCTGAAGAACATGATTGTATATATAACTTTTGATTGAGCTAAATGGAGGATGTAAGAGGAAAAAACTAAAAAACTGATCAATTTTCTTATGATAGGATGGTTATTATTTTGTTATTACAGCGGTTGCCGTAGCACTAGAGACGGCAGGATTATCTATCGGCGGAAAAACACTTGCCGCGGCAGTTGGAGGCTTGGGATTCGGAACTTCTCTGGGTTTTTCAAAGTTGATGGAAAAGGTTGGAGGTCTCGGAGTCGGACAAGGAATAAGAAAGTTTCTTGGGCCGAGTAAAAAGAAGAAGGATACACTTGAAAAGCACATGAGGGAATCATTGCAAAAATTGAGAGCACACTTTGAAAAATTCGAAGTAGCAGCATCAGATATTGTAAAACAGAGCTCTGCCTCAATCTCGTCCCACATAAAAATCGAAACAAATAGGTCGTCTGAAGAAATGTCAGCGCTGAAAGAGGAATTACAACAACTAAAAAACTGGTCACAGAAACTTCGTGAAATCACAGATCGCCTGCAGGCTGTCCGGAAAGAACTTTACGAGCTAAAGCATGGGTAAGTATTGCGATCAAGAATGGCCCACCATGTCAACTTGACATAAAGCGGTTTTATCCCATCGGGAAGTTTAGATTAAAAAAAATTGTCAGGAATTTCTCGAGTTTAAATTATCAAACTCGCAGTTGTCTCTGTCAAGTTGCTAGATCGCGCAAGCCAAGATTTTTTCTTTTAGTTAAAATTATGAAAAAAGAGAAATTCTGGCAACAGCCAGTCGCCAGATATTAGTAAAGTTCTGATGAGTGGTAACATATGGTCGGCTGTTAATTTTGAATATGCTTATGCTTGGTGTCGTTGGGAATGAGAGGGTAAGCCACATTGACTTTTATACATATCCATTCGATTGTTCGGTCAGTTACACGGCTTACGACAAATTTTCTTTCTTTGCTACATTGAGTAGAAGTGATTTCAACCACGGTCTTACAAAGAGTTCTTTTTAAACCTATCGCTTTAGTTCAGCTAAATCCTCCTGTTTTTTTTTGTTCAATCGCACCACTCGATATTTTTTTCCCGACCTCACCAAAAGCAAAACGTACTAATAGAAAAGACAAAACCCACGGGCGAATGTTACTTGACCAAATTTGTCTTAAGGATATTTTAGCCATCAGTGGAAGGTAAAAACATGCATGCATATTCTCTAAAAAAACGTGAATCATTGCCGGAACACTATCTAGTTTTTTTTAAGTGAACATCTGGGTGATCTACTCGTTTATCCAAGAGTTTCAGGTCTGAGATATATATATATATATATATATTACTTTCAATTGTGTTCTACAGGTTGAAAGTCAACGACACAGTTCCTTCCGATGACCAGACAGAAAACCAGTCATCCGTCCAAACAGCTCTATACGAGCCCTACACTGTAATTCAGAAGTAATCCATGTTCCCCTGCAACACATCATCGTAATATTACCGTAAAATGACTGAATTTAATTCAAATTAAGTGTTCCTGTTAATGGTCAATCAAGAAAATGACCAGTAGAGCGCACATCCTTCGTCACCGAACAAAGCCATTAAGACTTTATTATATACGTTATCATATTTTAAACTTCGTTGGGCTCGTCAAAGTTGACGGCTCATTTCGTTTGGTATTCATTACTAGTTTCAAGGTAATATGCAGAGATAGAATGATATATTTTCTGCAGGAACACCAATACTTGGTCAGCATAACTGTGTTTTGTAAATGACAAATCCATGTTTTTAATTTTGATATGTAAGTTGATCGTAATGCCTTCTTATAAGAGACAGTTGCCTTCATCAATTTTGAATTCTTGGACCCATTTCGTATCATCCCTCACATGCCGCTGCTACGAATTGGATTTAAAGCTCTGACTCTTACTATTCATGAAAGGCATTAGGCAAATTCTGTGGGCGGTTTGCTTAAACAAAACTTCGTTTTTCGCAAACACTTACTAACTTCCCTGTCTGTTATTAGGTCAAGATATATCGAAGAGAAGGGCATTTAAGTAAGCATACTGCTTGTTCATCACCTTTTGGATGAAGAAAAAGATATTTGAGCTATTTTTAACCTTGAAAAATTCGCGATAAGATGAAAAGATTGAGATTTTTGGAGTTGGGAGATTACTGCGACTAAAATTTACTTCTTTACATTAGCAAAAGCAAAGCAGCAGAACGTATTAACCGTCCGGTTTACATTTTCCAAGCTACATTAAACTCCAAGAAAAGTATAAACATATAACCCTAAAGGCGAATTCAGTACTTGATTTTATACAAATACATAATGTGTATGAAATATATGATTAGTATGTATATGATACATGTATTTCGTCTGTTTTGTTTTGTTTTGTTTTTTGTTTTTCTATCTTCTTCGGCCATAGTTTTGACTTGCTTACCAAACAGCGACTACATAACATTACAAAATTAAAACTAAGGATCTCTTGAATTAATAACATTGTTATTTTGTTCTTGAACTTGTTAAAATCTACTTAAGCGCGAATAAAACCATACACCCTAAGTTGGCTGTATACGTCAATAACCAGTTAAATGATTGCCAATGTCTATTTTTTGAGAGAAACTGCACGAGTTTGATATCAAAATAATTATTTTCAATTCGAGATTCTCTCTTTTCTTAATGCGTGGAATAGTTACTTAGAAGCAGCACTTTGAAAATTAGATTTGGCGCGGTTTTCAGCCTGAATGGAAATGACCAACTTGATATATAATTATGCTAATATCGTTTTGTTTAAAGAAACAATTTACCCCTTTTCCAAAGGTACTTCTAATTAAGAACTAAGCAATTTTTTTTAGTCCTGACAATTTTGACGCTGTTTCTCATTGGAATTTCTAGAATCACTTATTCATTAGCACGACTGGGTTTCTTTGTGCTGCTCGTACTGAAGCCATGCCAAACCACCATGAGCACTCAGCAAGTTCTTAGTAACCTGAGCCTCACTGTGCAAAGTATTTACCTTTTTTCAGTTGGCTGTCACTGTCTAGCTTTAGTTGGATACAAATTGGAACACTTTTAAATATGCTAAGAAAAATAGAAATGGTAAAATCTTTTGACCGCGAAGACAGACACCGAAAGTACTTGTAAAATGCTACTAGTCTAAGCCATATTAAAGATATCCCAATGATTACTTTCTTTGGCTTCTGACATCAGTGATGCAACGTCGGTTTTACGACACACATGTACCGGATAATTGCTGTGTAAACCATTGTATCGGTGAAACACCCATTACATGAAAATTGAGATACACACTGAAGGAACAAAGTTTGGAAAAAATCACCTCTTTATGTTGATAAGAGACATCCTAGAGATAGAGGAATGACCAATGTGGCCGTTAAAATATCGCTAAAAGACACGAATTTTAATCGAAATGTTGATAGCTGTACAGAAGCTCGGCTTTTTGAAAGTGAGCAAAACAGTCAGTAAGTACGAAGAAACTGCTAGGAACATTAATGAGATGATAATAACATATCATATTCAAAGTCTTCCACTGATATAATAACCTTTGGCTCTTCTGTTACATATATGAACACTGGATTTCATGACATTAGCCGTAAAAAACTAGTGTTACTTTCTAAAATTGATTCTCAAGAGACCCCGAATTTTTTAAAACCAAACTATTAGTGAAGGGTTGAAGGTTAAGATTGTTGTTTTTCATTTTTTTTAAAATTAAACTCAGAACACGAAATACGCCTTTTCAGCGGAAACAATATCATTTTACGAAAGGTTACCATTGTTTCCCTTGCTGTACACTACACATATCGTCTTACGTTGACAATTATGTCTAATCAAGAAACATTTTAGTTTCAAGTAAAAGCTTGGCTGTACTGTTTGCATCGGCGAGGAACGAGTTGCAATAGTCACTTTTTCTTTAAATAAAGGCTATATATCTTTGCTTTCATAACACAAAAAATTGCTATTTAAATTACTAAACAAGTAACAATATTACTCAAATGTTCAAAATAACCACGGTAGATAAGAGAGAAGCTACTTTTAAAAAAGCTTTTGAAGCAGCTAATTTGCGGTTCAATGAATAGGTTAATTATATTCTTAAGAACAGGAAATGACGTGAAAACATAAATATGGCTGGTAATCTATCATTCCTCTATTACTAACAACCTTGCCAGATTTGTCTTTCATCGATCGAAAACATTGTTCGAGTTATCGGTACGTTGCGACCGCACAGAACTTTCAGCCTCCAATCTACGGCAGCTGAAAATATACTTCCTCAAAGGAGAGAAGTCGCTGTAAGCAGAGATGGAGATAAATATGGCAGACTAGTGCTCGGTAAAAGCTAGAGCTATTGATCAGTAAAAGCTTAACTACACACATGAATGGACCTTCTTTTACGAAGGATATTTCACTCTATTCCTCATAGATTAAAGCCTCACGGGCAAACTTCAATTCCCTTTACGTCTGCAAATTTTTTCATGGATAACAGGACTTGACTGTTTCCACGAAATGTCGACATTACTGTGTTTCTTAAAATCGAAGAAATGCAAAATCAGTTTGTTTTAGAGGAGTAAGCATTCCCAAATGCAATCGACTTACTGTTCGCCAATCATTTGTCCTTGCTGCAAACGTTGGCTTCGAAAATAAGCTTCTCGTGAGTGTTTCAATTGATTACATGGTAGCGTGCATTGTGATATGCAAAATGTCAAGATG